AACTCAAACGCGGCAATGAGATTATCGAGTATGATTCTAAAACTGGCCAGAGCAAGGTTCTGTTGGTCATGGAAAAAGAGCGAGTTGGTTGTTCGGTTGTCTTACATGAAAATACGCTTGTTGTGATTGGTGGTGCTACTGACGATGCAAATGAAGTGAATTGTTTCAACTTTTTATCAAATTCTTGGAGGAAATTACCCCCGCTCGCTCCGGGGAGATACGAGGCTTCAGCAGTTGTTGTCAATAAGATTTTTGGATTTTGAGAACGCAAACTAGTTATATTAGAAAGAACGACGGTAAAATAGTACTTAAAGTGATATAACCAAAATTTAACCGAACAGACAATATTCATCGGACATTTAATTAAGAAAATATCATGGTAATATACTTGGGTTATTCTGCATTTCGCAGGAAATTCTTTTTTATTGATTTGTAGTTAGAATAAACAGTATTGCAGCTGAAGGAAAAATTAAAACTCAGCAAAATGTCACCTATATCATGAATTCAACAAAATTTTCGCTTTGGAAACATTTCTTTCTAAATTGTAAAACAATAGCCCACTTTTTGAATCACCTCCCCCCCCCCCGGCCCCAGTCAAAACCGCCTGTAAAAACCTTTCGTCTCTGAACTTTCATTTAACAAACCATTTCCTGTGCTAATTAGTCATTTCCTAATGGAGCCGGGTGCTGGGTTTTGTCGCGAACCTCAAAGCGTCTATGGACTGTTTGGAGGGACAGCCTGACAGGAAATATAAGTCTGAAATCATTTATCCCTCCAAACAGTCCATAGACGATTTGCGGTTCGCGACTATACCCAGTATCCTGCTCGATTGGGAAATAGCTAATAAAATTGGACCCATCCAATAAAAATCCTATTCCATGAAACCTTTCAAACTAACTACAAGCATTCTCCTCTAAATTGAGAGGCAACGAGACGCCTTTTCATGCAGTTAGGCGTAACACTCAGTCTGCAGCGAAATATCATAATGCCGTAAGGGAGAATGTTGCCTCTAAAGTTATCATAAGCACAGTTCTTAGTTTATAAATCGCAATCACTGGCGATGGCCATTGAAAGAAGAGAAAAAAATCAAGATATTTTTATAACAGTTCCACCATATTTGTTATGTAAAACTTCAAAGGTTCCGACTTCAGATTATCCCCAAATGCACATTGACGACGGGCATATTTCACAGGCGGAGTAATAAAATTCAAAAACACTAAGGATTTGCAATTTTGTCAGTTTTTTAAAGCAAGAAAGATTTGGAAAAATATTGCCCAAAATGTCGAATAACAAAACACAACATGATGTCAACTTCTGATGAAGATATTTCAGGGTTTTTTAAGACAAGATACTTTCAAGATAAGATCGTTTCAACTTTTTATCAAATTCTTTGAGGAAATTACCCCCGCTCGCTCCGGGGAGATACAATGCTTCAGCAGTTGTTGTGAATAAAAGTTTTGGATTTTGAGAACTGAAAACTAGTTATATTAGAGGTTCAAAGGGTCTTAATTTCCATCAACTGTTCCTGGCTTGAATTTGAAGTGTGTATAATTCCACAGGAAATTAAGACCATTTGAACCTCTGGAATTTACCTGCATCGAGTGCCAAAAATCACAATTTATTTACCCCTAGTTATATTGGAATTTTAAAAATAATGACAGTAATCCATAATCCACATAATGACAGTAAAATAGTAAGTGAAGTGATATAACCAAAATTTATTCGAACAGACGTTATTCATCGATCATTTAATTAAAAATATAATCGTAATATACTTGGGCTTTTTTGCATTCCATAAGATTTTGTTTTATATTGACTTGTAGTTAGAATAGTAAGTATTGGTAAAATATAATGAACGTATAAACCCTGAATAATTCTGTATATTTGAGTTCGGCAAGGTTTTGGTTTGCAGAAAATTCGCTTCTCAAAATATAAACAATACTCCGTTTAATAAATCAACCCTCCTATTCCACGCAAAACCTTCTGTAAGAAAACTTTCAACCCTGCACGATCATGAATACCAATTCTCCCCCTACCACAAACCTTCCTGAAGAAACCTCTCAATCCCATTACAACGTGAGCCATTATCAAACCATGCACCTAACTCAGTACATTTTGTAGAGTTAAATCCTAGTTAACTCAGAAATGCTGGTTGAGCCAGGTCAGCCAATTCTGTCCTTAACGACAGCTAAAAGTTAACTAGCCTGTTATACAACTATCTCCGATGATTTTCCTATAAATTTCCTGGATTCTATAAATTTTATATATGTAGCGAAACTATATTAAAAAAATGAAAGTGTTTCTTTACTTCCGCGTCGTAGATTTGGCGCATGTTAATTAACCTCGCCATTGAACGAAGTCAGGTAATGAAATGCATCGTCAAAGCAGGCTTCTTTCAAATGTGCTTGTTGCCTCGAGTAAATCTCCCCTTATCGTTGTTTTTCAATCAGTCGTAGGAAAGACAGTCAGGTTTCTTCAATTGCTTAACATTCAATATAAAATATTTAGCAATTATAGTTTCGTTTTGACCATGTAGAACAACGATGTCATAGCAGCTGTTCACCACCATGAAAATTTTCAAGATATCATTCCAATCCTTAGAAATATGTTGCAAGGGTGCTTTGTTTGCTCAGCATAATTATGGCGCCTTGCGTGTCTCTGGCATTGTTATTGATCTACTGTGAGATCACGACTCGTCATTATCAGTTAAATATAGTTGGAAATTGAGTATTAACAATGATCACAAGACAGTGTTTGATATTAGCATTTCTTTGAAGACCAGTTCTCTGTAAAAAGGGTGTAATTTCAAATCTATACCGCTATATACATTTCGCTGTAAATTCTGCTTAAAAGACAGAAAAATCTCCATGTGTAGAAAACAAACAAGTGCTCTGGTTCCACAATAAGATGTGAACTTATTTTAAAAGAAATATGGCTTCCGGCTATGACACAGCTCGTTTAAAATCAGTCTTCAACCAAAGCTTTGTCTGCACGATATGTCTTGGTGTTTTAAAAGATCCGATGCAATGTGAAAACAACGAACATTATTTTTGTTCCGGATGCATCAAGGAACATCTAGAGAAGACCTCGCACACTTGTCCAGTCTGTCAAGATAGACTGACCGTAGAGACGCTGAGAAAAGCACCGAGGATTGTCAAAGATTGTGTGTCTCGTTATAAGATTACTTGCGACCACGAAGGAAGAGGCTGTCCTGCAGTTCTCGAGATCGGAGCTCTACAAGCACACATCCGGGACTGTGGCTTCACGCCTGTCTCTTGTTCAAACGATGGCTGTGATGATGTCGTTAACAAACAAGATGTGGAACAACACGAGACCGAGTTATGTCCTTACAAGACGACAACCTGTGTTGACTGTGGAGAAAGAATGGCTCATCACAAGTATGGCGGACACGGCTGTGTATTACGACGAGATTTCGATGAAATGAAGAAAGATCTGGCAGAAATGAAAGTCACGCAAAATGAAATGATGAATGAGATGAGAGAAAGCATGAAACGAATGACGACCGCTATTGAAAAGATTGAAAAGTCGTGTCAGAATGTAAACAGCGCGGTCGAATTCTTGATTCCTGATATTGTTGTCATCGCTGGTAAAGAATCCAAAACACAGAAGCTCCTTTCTTCCGTCGAACGATTGAATCTGTTCAACCAAACTTGGACAACACTACCCGATTTGAAAATAGCTAGACAGGGTCATGCAATTGTTGTATTTGAAAACCAACTCCTTGTTTGTGGCGGTTTTACGAAAATTTCCAATGAAGCCACAGATAGTATAGAAGTACTGGATTTGAATCGTCATCCTCCAGAATGGAAGACGTTTTCTGTCAATCTTCCCATCAAAGTTGGTAATCACAAGTGCGTGGTTCACGGGAATCGTTTGTTGATCATTGGTGGTTTTGACGGACGCGAGTTTTTGGATACGATCCACGAGTTGCTGCTCGTTCCTCCTTATTCAGCCAAGTTGCTTTGTCACATGAGGAAGAAACGGTCTGCCCATGGGGTAGAAATATTCGACGATAAAGTTCTCATTGCTGGCGGAATTGTAGCGAAACCTGACGTGGAAATATTCCACATAAGAAGAAATCAATGCATTGAAATGCCACCATTACCATCTCCTGTTTGCTTCATGGCGACAGTTCGTCGTGATGAGACCATGTTGTTTATTGGAGGAAAAGGTAAGAATGACAAATACAGCAATGAGATTATCGAGTATGATCATAAAACTGGCCAGAGCAAGGTTCTGTTGGTCATGGAAAAAGAGCGAGTTGGTTGTTCGGTTGTCTTACATGAAAACACGCTTGTTGTGATCGGTGGCTTGGGTGGCGATGCAAATAATGCAGTGGATTGTTTCAACTTTTTATCAAATTCTTGGAGGAAATTACCCCCGCTCGCTCAGGGGAGATACAGTGCTTCAGCAGTTGTTGTGAATAAGAGTTTGGGATTTTGAAAACAGTCAACTAGTTATATTAGAAAAAGCTAATAGTAAAATAGTACCTGAAGATATATAACCAAAATTTAATCGAACAGACATTATTCGTCGATCATTTAATTAAGAATATACATTTTATAGAAAATAGTTTTAGATTGATTTGTAGTTTGAAGAATGAATATGGCTGTAAGTATCATTAAAACCATGTGTAATGAGTTAATTTTGATTTGCGCAAAATTGGCTGCAAACGTGTAAACAATTCCTGGCTTTACGAAAACTTCTTAATTAATCATTTTCGCCCCCATTCCAACGCTTAGCTTTAAAAAACCTCTCCATCCCACTACAACCCGAGCCCTTCATTCTTCCATCATTTACAACAACCTTCCTACTTCATAAAAGCTTAACAAGCTACTACCCCCCCATCCCCGGCGACCTTGCACACACAACCCCCCCCCCTTATATCAAACCTCAACCAGAGAACCCCTTTTCCCATAACGAGCATACACTATTATCAAAATACCGAATGAATCTTAAAGTAAATGAATGAATCCTACCTTGGCAAGCGCTTTTTCCTTTTCTGACTTTTCATGATCAACGTCATTCTTCGCTTTCTTTTCAACTTGAGCAATATTCGTCTCGAAATTACCAACCAAAGTCTGCTTCTCTCGTTCGTAACTTGACACGCTGTGTGAAAACATAGAAAACAAAACATTAAAAAGAGGTTTTCAGCCGAGGTTGAACCTGACACAACATGAGAGAGTTTAGCAGTGACTACGTGTACAAGATTCGTCATTTTCGCGCAAATTCGTGCAAATGAATGAATCATCCATACAAACCTCTCTTTAAGATCGTCACATTCTGATTCGGCAGATTTCAATTGCTTTTGCAGTTCCGCCTGTAAAAGAATTCCAACGATTTCAATGGATCATAGCAAAAGAAATGGCCGCATGTACATTTGACCAGAATGCATTGCAGGCATCAAGAATAAATTATCTTTTTCGTTATGGTCAATTTTATTTAAGGTCGCATGGCCGCGTTTAATACGAGGCCAATATATAGCAAATAAATGGTTGGTCTAAACTTTGCAGTCAGTTTTACTCATTCTAAGATGCTCTTTCTAGCTGAGGTATTGGTTCTCTTCTTCTTGCTTAGATTGAAACTTCAATCACAGGAATTCCACGCATGAACCAGTGAACTCTATATAGACTGGAACGATAACTAACAGTTATTTTTCCGCCATCTTCCACCGAATAGACCATTTCAGCTTGCATGCAAATGAACCCATTTCAGATGTTCTGATCATGGAATAGCTAATAAAACTTTAGACCATGTGATTTGAAATGATTAATTTGCATAAAAGCTGAAAAGGTCTATTGGGGACCAGTGCCAGTCTCTTTCTATTCTTTTCTCGGCGCGATCGTTGACGGTAGGAATGACTGGCACTGGTATCCAATTCAACTTCAAATTGGCTTTAAAGATGGCGACCGAGTTATTGATCCAGTTCACATAGAGTTCACCGGTACGAAGCCCCAGTCCCCACCTTCTCATGTTCCAAGCCCATCCTTCCGCGCCGCAACACCTCACATTCCTCGCTTAATCTCTGTGTTTCCACTTCCAAATTCTTAACCATTCCATTCGCTGCTTCCACTTGTTGATTACTTTCACTTTCCATTTTCGCGATTCTCCCGTTTGTTTCGTCCAAAATTTCCTGAATTTCCTGTGTGTGCTTCTTCTGCATCTCAAACTTTTCCTGCTCAAACTCCGCGATCTTATCGTGCAGCTTAAAAAGTGAAAATAAATCGTTTACACTTGCGATTCCTGCTGCGATTTTCACCTTTTGATAGATGTGAACGAGTAATTGGTTACGAATGCTCTGATGTATAAAAGCTCTTAATTTGAATATCAGTAACTAATTCACTCGTTCACATCTATTTAAAGAAGAAAATAAATTCAAAATAAATCTTTTGAAGATTCTGCGATTTATGTGCGATTTTCTTCTTTTGATAGATGTGAACGAGTAATTAGTTACGAATGCTCTGATGCATAAGAACTTTTATTTGAACATCAGTAACTAAATCACTCGTTCACATCTATCAAAAGAAGAAAATCGCACATAAAAACGCAGAATCTTTAAAAAAGATTTAGTTTTACTTTATTTTCTTCGCAGCAAAATTGGCAAGTGTGAGCACGCCGCTAGAACATGACTGTTCTCAATTCAAAAGAAAATATGCAAATATTTTGCTAGCGAACTATTCCTCCGCAAGTGGAAATCCAGCCTTGCTATTGCTGATGCCTTCTTTTCTTTTTTCTTCCCCGCATAACGATTGATTGTGAAGTTTTGAAAGTCTGAGCTCGTGAAAAACTACCTTTTTCTCAAAATCGTTTTGCATCGTCGTTCCTTCCTTTTCTTGGGCTAAATTTTTCAGTTCATCTCGTTGTTTATCGCGCTGCTGACGTAGCGACTCGAGTTCACGCGCTTGTTGGACGACTATAGAATAAAAAGAATAATGCAAACTATAGCTCGGACACAATGCAAATATATCGGAAACCGACAGAAATATATATTTCAAGAGATATTTAACAACTAGTGCCATTCGTTTCCCGCCATTTCAGAATCACCTGGCAGGTCAGATATTCCAAGAAAACTAGTTTCTTAGAAGGGAAGACTGCTGACGAAGAATATATTCATTCTCTGAATTCTAGCAGTACATTGATTCGCCGCGCATGCGTTGTTAACAGTTCAAATTTCCTTACTCTTTTTATCTTGCTTCTTCAATCTCGTCTCGATCTCAGTTACTTTACTGCGATATTTCGCCTTCACTTCTTCTAATTCATTGTTTTTACGGTCAAGAATCTTAGAAGAAATAAATAACAAAATAATAAAAAACAGTTGACATAAAATACCAGAGCTGCACTCAGCAGTTCAAGTTTTAATTTTGTAGACAACGTCTTGATAGGACTTGGACGAGTATATCGCTTACTGGTCAACCTTATATTTACCTTCAATTTAGGTGAAAAGATATATAGCTATACTATAATTGTTCGAAACACAAGGACACGATCTTACCATTGATCGAAGGGACTATAATCTATATATACCTTTTGAACAGAAAGGTCATGTTGTTGTTGAATTTTGAGCTTATCTTCATGAAACCTCGCTTCGGCCATTTTCGTTCTCGCTTCCACCTGTAAAGTGAGAAACTCTAGAAAACATCTGCAATATTTAACGATGCTTTTAAATAAAAGAAACTTCGGTGTATATGAGGATATTTTGTTGCTCGTATGCTTTGAAACTACATGCACACCCACCTCTCTTTCTTTGCCGACTCTTTTCAATAAATCTTCCTCCTGTTCTGTCGTGAACGATGGCAGAGCTATTTGGAATCGCAGAGGAAAATGCAATCAGCCGCCCATTAAAAAAAAATGAGCTTTAGCAGTGAGTACAAGATTCACCATTTTCGCGCCAAACGAGGTTATTACGTCATCTGACGAAAGTCGTAGTTGTTTGGTCACGAGTTTTCACTGATGGCGTAAGCAAACAACCTGCGAGAATGACGAATCCCGTACTTGTATTCGTACTCACTGCTAAAGCTCCCTAATGTCTGACTGTTGTTAACAATTAACTTTATACCTCTTGTTTGAGATAGATAACCTCCTTGTTCACCATTCATCCTCAATGCAGCTTTGGTCTAATTTAGAGAAATGATAACATTATAAACTAATACTTCAAGTAGAAATACCTATTCCAGGTGATTTCCCGCTCATTATTTCAACCAATCAGCGCTCAGGAGGTTTAATTGTCGAAATAGAAATCCTTTCTGCAGTATTTAATCGATCATATCTTTCGTTATTCTTTATCAAAGTAGTCGAAATTTTGTGATCATGTTTAGTTATAAGAACTATAGCTCTGACATAAATTTGAAGGCGAAATAAAGTATATTTCCAGAGATATGAAGTTGTTTCAACTGAGAAATGGAGTTTTATTCGACAACTAATCCTTGTCCTCAATCCCCGGTTTATCTTACAGGCGTTGATGTCGGGTATCCCAAATCGCTGTTCAAGATCTCTCGTAAATAAACCGGTTCGTATCTGAATTTCCCACCGAGAGTTTTCCTGGCTTGATACGGCGAACGGGCGTGCGAGATATCTCCGTTTTCCGTGCCGGAGGAATGGTTCCTCAGGCTGGAACTACCCGCGTAAGACGACACCAAGCTGTTCTCGTCTCCGTGATTTCGATACGATTTCCTCGAATGGGCTCTTTCATGTTGGGAATCGTCTTGAAAACTGCCGTCTGAAATTGAATCATTGGGAGACGAATGAGACAGAAATACAAGTCACTCAAACGTGTTTGGAGAATTCTTACTGTAGCCTATGGTCCTATAAAGAGTAGGGCAATATATAGGGTCAATTTTCCCTGGATAAAAGGGAGCTTCAAAATGACTAAGTTAGTAATGGCGTATAGAATAGATAAAAGGGTAAATCCGGCCCATGGGAAAAGGGGTAACCAGTACTTTCTTTTGAAAGCCCGGATACTAACTTTTTCTTTGCATGCTATGCAGTCTATTCGGTACCTGATGAGTTTGCAAGCTCGCCTCTGATCCAGCTCGGAGCTGTGTCACTATCGTCAGCCTGGATTGTTAAATAGAAATTGGTGGTATTGATCATGAATCACGGCTGAATGCGGCAGATGTATTGTACTACACGTGATCAGTGTTATTACTACACCTGATTGCACGTGATCAGTGTTAAAACTTGCCATTTTAATTACCTCTTGTTCAGAAAGTGAACTCTGTACCGTAGGATCATCCGCGTAGATGGACTGCGCAAAGAAATGACATGTTAACTAGTTAATCCCATGCCCAGCCGTCACGAGGTGGAGGGATCTTTTCATTTTTCTAAGCACCCTAAAGCAACCTCGTTTTTAGGGGAAGCCCTGGTGACGAGTATGCTCGACTCACCATGTAAGCTGGCATAGTAGGTAGCGGGCCAGGTTCTGGTTGTTGAGAGAAAGGTTCCTCGATCAAATCACGTTTCAACATCGCCAGCAATACTTGAGCATACATGTTCCTGTTTTTTCTAAAGCAAGCGAGTTAGTTGGGTTAGTTGCAGCATAGCTAGAGCTGAATTGAATTATTGTTCTATGGTTTGCTTTATTTATCATAATTAATCGTTTCTAGGCTGAATTCGATTCATTCAGCATTCAGCTCACGATATATGGTAAAGATCAGTTACAGGAGGATAAATCATATTTTTGTTTTTTTAACTGGATTCTATATAGCTCAGTGACCCATCTAGCCAATCAGAATCAGTTCCCTTAAAATTTGACTTTTCAGGTTTATTCATAACGATAGGCAGGACCCAGATACCTTTACGCGCTCGCTCTAGCAACTGATCTCTATATTACCAGTTGGACGCAGAGATCTTTCATGCCATGCAAAAAAAGTGCCCGGGGCCTGGTCACGATTCACTCACGAAGCTGGTTATTCCTAACTTTTTGGTACGATTTTGAGGTGTGGCCAAAACGAATGGCCGCAAAAATGGGTCACAGTTGGGGGAATATTAAAAATTCACGAATGAAAATGCTACAGGTCTTACGGGGACGAAAAACCGTTAAATTCTCGAAAAGTTTACTATTTTAATGCACGTATGTATACATTTAACTTCTGGCGGATTAATATGTTAATTGTGTTCTTTCGTGTGCCATAGTAAATACACAATCTCCAATGATTTTAGAAGCGAAGAATATGTTTCATCCAGTGGAAAATTGATAATAACAAAGGCTTGTCAGGTAAAACAGGTTTAAATATCGTTCTTGAACTTATTTTGGATATTAATTATAAATGTAATATTTAATAACCTTGACATGAGCGAGGCACCGTTTCCCGGTGGCTCACAAAGCTTCTTGATCCACATTGCGATCCTTTGACGTTCTGTTTAAAGAAATTACTTCAATTTTATACGTATAAATAACAGATTATACCAGCAGCTTTCTTGACTTGAGGCAACACTGCATAAAAACATAGAAAAAAGCAAATGTTTGGGAGATCTGAGCGCTACATTACAAACTGATGAGTTATGAAATATAATCATTGGGTGCATGGCAGTTAATTTTGTAGAGCACTTGTCATTATTTAAACTGGCAGTTAATTACACTCATTCACTCATAAGTTATAACATAACCTGGCATCTGACAGAGTTAGATACTAATAAAACAGAATGGCATCTGGATGTATTAATGCATAAATGCAAGCCAATAAGTTGAGAAATTACTGACAGCTAAATTTTTCATTCCTCAACTCACCAGAAAATCACCTGCTAATATTAGACATAGCAAAATACTAAAGGAGAGCATATTGTATTAAACCATTTTGCAAGATAAAAAGCTCAAATATTGTCCTATAATATGATAGAATAGCATTCTACGTACGCTCTAGATAGCTTTAACCACAAAACGTCCTCAAATGGCGCATGAACACAATCAATGGCACTTTTAAAGTGCGACTTATAAATAAATATGCAATAATACCTTTAGCATCCCCTGAGCCACAAGGACTTGGTAGATAGAGCCAAGGCATAATGTTAAATATCTCTAGTTTTCAAAAATTGAATACCAACTTATATTTTTCAAAACATATAGGAGGGCAAACCGTTGTATTCAATAACTGCACAAATAATATATTTCTAATTACCAAAGATTATTGATGAATGGGTGCAATTTGAATGTCAACTGTCATCCGTAAACGAACTGTTCATGCAAACAGTCTTTGGCAAACATTGTTAATCCAAAAAGCTCAGAGGTATTAGTAGGGATTATAACAACAAATCATTTTTCAAAAACATTATTTACATTTAGGAAATGAACACAGAATATACAATGAGGTTCTGATTGAGATATTTACAGATGAAATATCCCAGGAGGCATTGCTTAAGTGATGATTTTGTCAGCGAGGAGGGAGGGGAGGTTGACATGATGTTGAAGGGCTTTCGCTAAATGGGCCCTGGTAAAATACAGTAGGTTGAATTGTGCAGATGTAGTGGGTTGGACTTCTCACACAAAGTTGTCCCCCTTTTTGTGTGAAAACATAGATTTTGGAAAACATAGAAACCAAGCTGGCAAGACCCATCTCACTCATGCTCCTATATAAAATGAGTCATGATTTACACTATAGTGAATCAACCCACAACGCCATCAGAACAGGACACTTAGGCCAACAGTTGGGTAAGAAGGGAAAGAACTACATTCCATACTCTCAAATGCACATTGTTCAAGTATGCATCAACATTTGTTCAAAGCAATTGACAGGCTTCGGTGTGGCACATTGAGTATGTTCACTGTCCATGAGACCAATCCAAATGTTTGAACTTGTCAAAAGTGATTTCACTGAAGACTGTTAAAAGCTATTAACAAATACAAACACTTCCAAATGCAACTTCTTCATGCAAACAAGTCCACAAATAATGCAAGATACTTACCAGTTTTCTTGGCCAACTTCAGCACAAACGGCTTCATACAATCCACAAAACTATTAAAAGTGTCATCGAGTTTTTCGATAGCAGAGCCTTCCCTGGCGCTTTTCAAATCACGTTTCCGCGCCGAAGTTGTCATATTTCCCGTCGCTTTCACACAAAGTAAACAAAACCAATCTCTTGAGCTTCTTAACGTTATGGACCAAACGAGAGCATAATAAAAAGCGTCAAATCCAAAGTTATTTTAGTACCTTGTTATAATACTCAAGCAAGGATGTTTACAGTTGCATTCCACATTAAAACAATCCTCTCTTTCATCTCTGGCTTCGTAGTTTAGTGTTTACTTTGCCCTTTTAAAGGGATCCTGTCGAAATTTAATCCAAGAGATCTGATAAAATGAACGCTATGAACCGTCGATCGCTGCTTTTTGCGTTTAATTTCCTGCCGATTTTCCTCGATTTTCTTATTTCAACGTTAAAAGACGACAGAGCGATGAAAAACGTATCAAACTGGCCCTTTAAATATATAAAAGTAGCAATTTCTCTTGAAATTTATGCAGAAACAAAATTCATATTCTCCCGCGAACCGTTTTCAACCGTTGAAATTTCGGAAGAGAATACGAGATTTGACCCCGTCGTTATGCTCCCGGGGCTCTACTTCGGCATGACGATGGTAATAAATTGGGGGTTTTTTTAAACAGTTTGGAACAAATTGAAGAGTTATTCATAGTAACTCATAAACCTAAGTATAGTTTTTGCCTTAGAATTTGTTTTATTGAAAAACAAACGGAGTTTTAAAAAGCAAAATAAAGACAGAGCTCAGACAACCGACCGGAGACCCTTACCTCACTTCCTTGTTAGGTGCAATAACCGTATTTTGGTTTTGCCATTCAAAATGGCGGACATTATTTTGCAAACTCGGTCACTTTTTAGGCGCTTTTATTAGGAATGGCGTCGAAACAACACATAAAGGAGGTGATCAATGCCTTATGTAGGATAATTCTTCACAACGGTGGGACAAAAATAGCTCCCGAGACCTTTCGACTCGCAAAATTCGGTAAAAACGAAGTCACAGGAGTGATGTGGAAATTGCTGTACGAGACGGTTTGGTTTGTCAAGTTTAACACTTTCCGAACTACCGAGAAATTTAAGGACGAAAATATGCAGGATGCGATATTGTGGACCAAATATGAGCTTTATGCAAGGGGATATTATATTCAGAATTTCTATGAATTGCCAAATGACATTAGTTCTGGGAGTAGGGAAATTTTGCTTGCCTTCGGCTGGCTGGTGTCAAAGTCGAAACTGCTCAATAGTTTACTGGACAATTGCAATAACATATTTGAGGAGTGTTTGCCAACAGAATGGGAATCATTGATTGCCTCACACAAATCACATTCAGAAAAATCAGACAAATTTTCTAGGAATTTAGAACTAGAAACTGACAAATGTACTGACTTTAACCAGCTCTCTTGGATTCTAGGAAATTTGATGTTAAGTTTTAAAGGATTGTTCTCAGCAGAGAACCAGTTAGCGTCATTGCTTGCCAAAGTGCATTCAGCCACCCAGGGTGTAGCCACGCCCAAAGGCCACCTTTCAGCTTTGGAAGTGTTTCTGCTCCGACACCCAAAGGAACTTTCAAAATTCTTAGAAAAAACTATACAGTATAATGAATATCTTGGAAATTTATTGACATTTACTGAAATGCAAGATATCTTTTGGAAATGGTTGGAAAGTGTGTATGAAGTCAAAGGTCTGCAACACACAGGCTCAGAAAGCTTGATGTGGAATGGAGAGAGGACTTGCAAAAAGTGTCGTGAAATTTCTGAGAGAAAATTATTGAGTATTTGTCGCATTCAACACGAGATCCAGAAAGTTATTGATGATAACAGCAAGCAGTGCTCAATATCATCAGAACAAGCTGCGTCTGATGATATGGAAACTGTATGCCAAATAAAATTAGAAGAGCTTAATCAGAAGTTGGATGCTTTATGTCTGGGTGGCAAAACTCGATCCAAACAAGCCGAAAGACAAACATTTCCAGAACTGAAGCATGTTGGTAATACTGGCAATGTCAAACAACCAGAGAAAAGCAGTGCACAGAGGGAAATTGAAGTATTGAAAGTGAAACATCTGGAGCTTGAATTAAAACTTATGGAACTCAGAAATGAGCATTTTGATATTTTGAATAACTTAGCGGGAAACATAGAAGACACTGTACTTATTCCTCCAATTGGGAAAAACAAATACACTGAACTAAGAAATAAATAAGTGAAAAATATTTGTTAATGTATTATATTGCCTGACAAATGAAATAAAATGCAAACAAGCAGCTATCTCGAACAGTCAGGTTTAAACCTATTGTTGCTCACTGAGCTCGGCTAAAAATTAAAAACAATGGCAGATCAATTTTATCACTACTCTCTCAAGTCTCAACGAATTGTTTTTCAGTTGTTCTGCTTCTTGATAATTTGTCAATTGCTTGTTTGCAGGTGATTACAAGGTTATATTATTGCCTTAATTCAATTGTTAAAAGTTTTTCGGACAATTGGTTTCTGCCATCATAGCTGCCATTCAACCGACTTATGATATTACAAAATTATTGCAACGCTTGAAAAGAAACGTGATTTTTGCTCGTCTATAAAATGCACAAGGTTTTCAATAGGAATACTATGACATACAGATTGTGTATTTTTGCATTAACGCACTAGCGTTACAAATTGTAAAATTCAACGAATATAAAATACCAAGTTTCAATTTTAATATAGCCATTTAATATTTTATTATTTTTCGTTAAATTATGCCTAGATCCTTCTTTTCCATTCTGATATATTATAATCTTATTTTGATAGTAATTTGAAACCGGAAACAGGAAACATCACTGTGCTTGGCCTTGTATGCCCTTCAAAACAAATTTGTAAATAAATTGACATTTGATCTTAAAATAAATCTAAAAAGACTAGAATGACGCAAGATTTTTGCAGTGTTGTAGAAGAAACGAATTGTTCATAAACTAGCAAGGTATTGATTCAAAACTTCGCTTCGATTCTTTCATTCTCATCCCTAAAATACGCTTTTATGATTGCTATATTTTCCACAAGGGATGAACGAAATCGTCTATGATGTTCTTGTTATCGGCGGAGGGTTATCGGGATTGACTGCGGCTTATCGATTGCTCCAACATAATCGATCATTGAAAGTGTTAGTCCTCGAAGCAAAAGGTATAGAGTAGTTAACAGAAACTGCAAATGTTTCCGTAATACCGTGACCATTTGATTTATTCAAATAGCAATTATAAATATTCATAAGTGATATAAAGTTCTGCAGTAAGTGCAGTGTCTAATATGTCCCTCTTTTTTATATGGGACTGAAAAAATAGGTGAAACTTAAGTAATAGTGCAATACTGCATATTTCCACTAATGTTTTTACTTTAAAAATGTGGTTGTCATAACTAATCTCATAATCAGGAATTATAGGATTAAATGCCCCAATCACATCTTCCTCTGGTTTAAGAGCTTGAAGCAGTTTCGACTTTCAACCATTTAATTAGACTGTCATTAGGGCAAAAATCCACCTTCCTTAAAACGTCCCTTAAAAGTTTACTTCTAAGAATGTTTATGTAATGTTTTCACTGCAAATGCAATTAATGCAATTTAAATATAAAAGACAGGATTGGTGGCCGCACCCTGTCAGCAAAACTCAAGTGTGAAAATGGCAAGGATATGTGGGATCTTGGTGGGCAATGGGTTGGAAGGTAATGTGACCATTAACTGTTGCATTGTCTACTGTTATATCCTTGTAAATTGTTTTAAATTGCATCCCATTTGTATAATCAGTGTGCTTAGATGCATCAACTGGGTATAATCTGGGTGCATTACTCATATAATCTGGGTGCATAACCAGGGAAAACACTGAAGTAGCAGCATTGAAAATTTGTAATTGACTTGTGTCTTGTAATTGATATATTAATTGACCATAGCCCACAGGTTCATGTTATGAAACTTATTGAGGAACTGGGACTTGAGGTTCACAACCAGTTCAACAAGGGTGCAAAGTTTGCCAGATTGAGTGATGGGAAAATCCGCAAGTACTCATCGGCTTTACCAATGGTATCACCATTTTCCCTCCTGGATATTTACTTTTTTATCAATAAGGTAAGGTGTGTCAGTGGATGATAACGACCAACTTTATGCTCATCATTATTACTCTTGGTAGTGCTGATTAAGTGACTTGAGATGGTGATTGATAATGATGATTATAATCAATGGTAATGATCATTAGTGGCGATGATGATCAATAGTGATGATAATTAATGGTAACAATTGGTGATGATCCATCATAGTGATGATGACCAATAGTGATGGTGAATCATGGTAATAATCGATGATGATCAACAATAGTGATGATTATGATTAATGGTGATGATTGGTGAAATAATGATGAAGCAATAATGAAGCACTGTTCGATCTAATTTGTAACCCTTTCTTCACAAGTTATCTTATATTGCAATCTGGATTTTTAGGCAGACAAATTATCACAAGAAACGCTGTTAAATTCAAACCTTTCAAAACGTCTGGACAGTCAAACGCTGGAAAATTTTAAACAAAATCATTGTTGGACCGAAGGTCAGGGTCTAACCTTAAATATTTCCCCCTAATAACGCAAAGAAACACTAAACAAATGAACCAAACGAACGCCATAAACCTCACCTGCTGTACTCTTGAAAATATAGGAGCGAAAGAGTTATTCGACTCTGCCTGTGGTGTAATTTTCGGGGCTCATCCATCCCAGATATCGTTGCTTTTCTTCCTGCACTATTGTCAGTGTGCTGGTGGCGTAGAACCGATCTTGGAAAGCGGCAAAGGTTCCGGCCAGGAGTGGAGAATAAAGGTTTGACTCCCAGCGCCGTTTTTAGAGCGCTCGAGAATCTCACAGACAAAATCACACGCCATACTGGCATACGCCAAACCATTAATGATAATAGCGAGGTTAACGCCAACAATGATAGCAATTACAAACAACTTCATATGAAAGTTTGCAAACTTTTAGTCCACTGGCACTGTTGGCCGTCTTGTGATTCAATCCCACAGTTTGATTTTGTTAAAGTCCGGACTATGATATTAGTAAAAAGTCCAGCGTTATTACAAAGCAACTATATGTTAGATATAACTTCGACTGTCTTCTAATAACAGGCGTTGAAAACAAGAGCTGAGATTATGCAATTTGCTGTTGTAAACGCCTTTGGGAATTCAACAATTATTCATTCTTTTCTTTTCTTTGCTAATTTTATTGTTTAATCAGCCGTCATTGTTCTCGTTTTCGTCCTAAATCTTAAGTTCCTAATCATGACAATGCCTAAGGCTTTTACGATCCACAACTTCATTTACCAGGTATTAGAAAGTTCTTGAATTCCGTTACGATTCTTTGAAGCATCCCGTAACAAGTCTGTTAAGTCAACATTGACACGACAACCTTGTAACCAATAATCATTTTTGCCCAGTTCAGTTTTCAAATTGTATGAAAGAAATTGAAAAAAGGGCAACTATCCGAATGGCAATGATATTGTCTGCTTTTAAAAACCTTGATTCGTTATGTTGATCAACATTTTAACAGGGAGGTGCACAGACGATTTCTCACAAACTATTGGAAATGATAGGTGATGAAAACGTTTGGCTTGAAGAGCCTGTCACCGAAATATCACAGGTAGATTTGAATGATATCAGTGTTTTGAAATGCTTTACATATTAACAAGAGACGCCAGTCTGCCTGTTCTTCAACACCTCTTTTCTTCGGCGAATTAAACTGATTTGGTAAAAATTGAATTGAAATATTTCGTTTCAGGAAAACGATAATGAAACGATAGATGTGGTGACAAGAACTGGGAAGAAAATCACAAGCAAATACGTTGTAATGGCGATACCACCTCATCAAGCATGTAAGCTAGGCAGCAAATAATGATGTTTTTCATTGTTCTAGTCGAAAAACTGAGATCCTGCCGATTTAAGCGGCAACTCTCATTGACTTCTGCTTCAGCATGCAATAGAAATGTTAAAATGTTTATTCCTTTATGTGTTAAGTCATGGAATTATAAAGCTTTCTGCTAAAAATACGACTTTTAAAAAGAGCTCAACTGATATGCGAATTCAAGCCTTTAAATTGTTTGCAGTGAATATCAGTTTCACACCGAATTTACCCTTCGACAAGGAGCATCTATTACGTCATATGCCCGTTGGTCACCTGATCAAGTTCGTCGTCACTTATCCGAAGACTTTTTGGCGGGAAAACGGCCTGTCCGGAGAGATCGTATCATTTGACGATTTCAAGTTTTCCGATAAAAACGTTAACGGGAACAGCGGTTAGTGTTTTGTTTTTAAAGATTTTACAGTTCTTTCTAAATGTTCTACCCTTATACAAAAACTATGCTTTCATTTTTTCTTAGAATCAACAAATGAATTTGACGATATTTCGTTCGTGGGCGAAGCTCCGGTCAGCATTGTATACGATGCAACCTCGGCCAATGGGAACGCGGCATTAGTCGGGTTCATTTCCGGTGTCGCGGCGGCGCGATGGACTCATAAAAAGGTGAGCTGAACTGGACTATATCTGACCTGATGATAATGCTGAAATATGAAATTTTTAACACAACTTTCCTAGGAAGACGAGCAAATAAAAGGAATAATCAAGTTTTTAACGAATTTCTTTGGAAAAGAAGCGGAAAACTACTTAGACTTTGGTATCAAGGTAAATCATATCTCACACGCCTAAAGTTTGCGTTAGATTTAGTTTAGAAGAGATTAAGGATTAGATTTATGGATTTAGGATCAATTTATGATCTCAACCTTGTCTTTATAGGACTGGTCTAAAGAGGCTTGGAATGGCGGGTGTCCAGTGAATTATACAACCCCAGGAACTTTATCCATTTATGGAGACTGCTTGAAAAATCCATTTGGAAGGTATAACTAAACCTTCCCAGCCTCGTACCCAGGCGCTTTAATTAATAGTGAAATAGTCCAGCGTATTATATGCCAATCAGGTTTTAATATGTCTTGTGAGACCCCAGTTATAAAATGCTATTATTTCTTTGCAGGATCCATTGGGCAGGAACGGAAACAGCAACGCTTTGGTCCGGTTTCATGAACGGTGCTGTACAATCTGGTACACGAGCTGCTAACGAAGTACTCACGAAAATTGATCCCAAGTTTATCCCTGTCTATCAAGACAACGAACAGCCGCGACAAAATATTGCCCGAAAATCCGGAAATAATTTCTTGAAATTTGGTATTTTAACAGCAGTTTCTCTGATTGCAATATTTATAGCAATGGTATGGTTTTAAAAAAGAACTTCTAGATACAACAAACAATTTCGCGCAATTCTCTAAATTTTACCGCAATATAATAAACGACGCATGCGCATGTGTTAAATAATTGGTTCCCAGAACCTGAGTTTGATGAACTCTATAGACACTGGAACTTTAACTGACGGTTATTTGGTCGCCATCATTGAAGCCAATTTGAAGACGAATTGGGTACCAGGGATCGTCAAAAAGGGATCGTGAGTGCAAAAACGATAATAATGGACTGGCACTGGTAATTCAATTTGGATTTAATTTTGGTGACCAAGTTATCGTTCCAGTTTACATAGAGTTCACTGCATGAGCTCTATTATAGTTTTATAGGAAATTTTTATACTAAATATTCTAATTTATGATAGGGATTATTTAAATTTATAACAATTCGGAGGGAAAAAACGTAAAGAGTAAATTAGTTGTTAAAGAGAAATAGCAATGAAAGTTTTTTGTTTCTCGTTTTAATTAAAAAAAACACCTAAAAATTACGTTCATAAAATATATTGGGTTAGGTGAAGACACAAGTGGACTTTGCACCACTTGTGACGTCAAATTTTCACTGCTATTTCTCTTGAGCATACTCAATTTTTTAATATTATGTAAAGTAATTATTTAAGTATTTTCAAATCATTCGTTTAATAGAAATCTTTAATTCTTTGTAACCGCGTTTTTTATTTAATTTCGCATGTTTTAGTTGGTAAAAAATTCAATTTTGAACGTTTTCCAATTTTAAACATGTATTACCCATGAAAGACCTACAACCAGCATTGTCCAAGGGAAGGGAAGGGCCTGTAAACCTGTAAACTAATGCATTAGGATCAGACATTTTTTAAGTTAAAATCAGCATACGACTACATATATTAAAACACGAATACGTTTTACAATAAAATATAGAGAAAATTGAGAAAGACAGAGTTGGTTCGTTGCCATCGATTCGAAATCGACACAAGTGCCTTTCCATTCTTCATGCATGTGCAAACAGAAATTTGCGTAATCCAGACTGTGATTTCATGCATACAGATCAGTGGTTCCTATCGATGTTTTTCATAAAGATTGCAGCCTGTAACTAGTTTTCACTTTGGACAAACTTAAAAAAAGTACTTTCAGGCATTCACAGGGGCTGTGAGGAAAGTGACGAGTAAAATATAAAACCTTCACCATCCTCGACCCTAGTTTTTGTGATGAAATATTTTCCCTGTTTCCAAGATTAATTTGTCAAAAATAAAAGTTATTTTGCATGCATACGGTAAAGAAAGATGTTCTCTTCTTTCTTTCCATAACCGTTGGAAAAAACTGGAAGTCTATCATTCAATTTAAAGTAGTCAAAACTATAAAACAGCCTTGAGTTCTTCATGAAAAACATCTATTCTATAGCTAAAGTCCCTCTACGGAATAAAATTATTCTGAAAAACTTTATTGTTTATAAGTGCAAATTGATATACTCATGCAAACACTATTTATGCAAATCCTCGCAACACGTGTGCAGTTTAACTTATTTAACTTATTTTTTTGTGTTTGTTTACAGAAGTCATAAACTGGACGTAAATTACATAAAAGTTGAAAATTAGCGACGATAATAAATAAAACACAGTTTTTAACAAAAATGATACATACAGTTGTTGTATATTCCCCATTGTTCATACCATAAAATCACTAGAAAAAGAGAATAAAGTTACCCTTGAACATTTGAAAAACACTAAAATGAATTTCTAAAGATTTGTGTCAGTAATATGAATGTCAGTCATTGTCTATGCCTGCCTTTTACTGTCAAAGTGGAACTTAGATTGGCGAATGTGATTTTGAAAGAAAAAAAAAACTGCCCTTGGAAAGAGAATGACTGCTATTGTTTCAAATACATAACGTATATAGATCATTCAACGAGTTACAAGATGCTAATCTGTGCCATTTCTCTTCAGGATGCCATTACTAACAGATGCAATAGACCTTATGCATAATGACGTAACAAGCCGTGACACCTGCAGGGAATTCTGGTCTTAGTAGTAACGGCGGGAAATTTTGAAGTTTGAATTTTTCGCCGTGACCACTAAAACCAGAATTCCCTGCAGGCGTGACGGCTTAATATGTCATTATATGCATAAGGTCTATTACGTCTGATATACATAACCATTTAAAGATTGTTATTCACTTACATTTGGAATATGATAGAAAGCCAATCCGACGAGGACTAGCAGGAAACTCACGCTCAAAGATCCTAAAATGATAACAATCACGTTCCCTCAACAACTCAACATTTTGTGACTCGATTTAAACGCTGGCAATTCAGATTAGTTGATGCAAGTTGTTGAAAACATGACTGTGAACAATGGAATTGTGCGATATCCAATGAACAGCATTGTTAACAATAGTTGTTCACCCATCAATATTGTTGCAACTTGTTGGTAATCATGTCAACAAGTTGCGTCAACAATGATGGTTCAACATGGTTCAATGCTTCGAGCAAAAGTTTCAATCAGAAATGTGATTAGCCAATCAAGTTCAACTGCCTGAACTATCCAAGACGCAACTGTCAGATTGGTAACCGGGCTATTGCAAATCCTGCGTCGTGTGCATGAGCAGGTGATACGAAAATTATGTTCGGGTAAAACATTCATTACGTTTGCATTAAAATGCATCTATATACCTTTGTTTTGATTACCACTACTCTTCTTGGTTGTGTTGCTTGTGGGAGTTACAGAAGCCGAAGCAAATTGCTGCTGATCGATGCCTAAAATATACGAAAAACAGGGTGTTTTAAAGAAGTGCTACTACTTCAAATAGAGTGACAAGTTCAGGGTATTTCTACAATCTTGGCAGCAGAAGGTGCAAAGTCGGTGAAAAAATAGCGACGCGCACGTGAATAAATAATGTAAAGTCATGACGGATGTAATGATGTTGTTGTTGAATTTCCTATTCTCTCCGCATCACTATTCTCCTATTTCTTATTCTCGCGCCCCAAGACGATGGAAAATGCTATAATCAGATTTGGTTTGGTTCAATTCGACACATGCACAAGTCACATACAGGACGAATGGCTGAATAAATTGAGGAGGATAGCCTCAACGCTATTCTTATTCAGTGGCGTAACTAGAATGATAATTTGGGGGGTGAATATTCATGCATGCGTCTATTCAGTTCTGCCATACGAATTTCTTTTGTAAGATCACCCCCCCCCCAAATTATTGTTCTAAATTCGCCCCTGTAATTCTATAGGTGGAGATTCGGATGGTGTACCTGAAGTTAGCGTTGAGTTTGCGTCATTTCCTAGAAAATTTTGACATCAAACACATTATCATATATAGCCGCCTCATTGAAAATTGCATGAATTATACTAGAAAAATAATAAAATACATAATGTATATTCATATTAAAAAAAAGCATGATATACCTTTATCAGAAGATGCCATTGTAACATAGGCTGAAGTGGGGGTGACACCTAGATTTCATCAAAATAATAGATAATGAAGCTCCTATAACATCCCTGCTATATATGTTGCAAAAGTTTACTGAAGGTTGCAAAAGAAAATGTAAACTCGTATATAGTCTTTGGCGCTGGCCTGTATAGTTGCTGCAACCGCAGTGTGATTTGTATCATGCATATGAGCGACAAAGGGACTATAAAATTCTAGTGAAGGGGTATTAGCAGGTAATCTCGGGCTCAAAAATCAGCCAATCAGCGCTCAGGTAGGTTGTCGAAAAAAAATCCATTCTGCAGTATTTAATCGATTATATAACCTGGAGTATGCGTAATTGATTCTTTGTCATAGTTGGTCATAGTTGTTGCATCAGAAGGAGTCACAGATAACGAAGCTTTTTGACTGGATCCCATCGACATTTCTACAAATGAAAAAGCATAATTAATACCGCTATGATATACGTTCTGTATTATATTTACACTATATGCATGTGAAATTTGTATATATAATCTCGTTATCTCGCGGTTCATTGTTAATTATGTAGAATTTGTTTGAAATAGTCATGAAGAATGCTAAATTAAAAATTTAAGTATATAATTTTTCCGGCAAAGTGCAGAGGTTTCAAAGCTTTTCAGTTGCGGATGATACAACGAAATTGTAGGCCCAAAGTGATCAAGTAGTGTGTTTTTTTAGAGAACAAAGGGACAATTCAGTATAGCAAGAAATAAACAGTTTAGACAAAGCAAGTAAGAAAACCCAAAAACAATTAAGTATAGCATCCATGTTGACAAACAAATAGACTGTAAACAAACAATCATGCATACAAACAAATACCGCTATGCAAACAAAGTAAACAAGCGCTTAATGAAACGAACAAACAAACAAACATATTCAGAATGTAAACAAACTGTACCCGGGCAAATCAGAAAGATGCCGAGTTCCAACTTCCAATAAATATCATGTACATATATTGTTCCTCACGACATATATATATATATATATTATATATATATATATATATATATATAAAAGTTGCGTTGTGCCAAATACAAGTGTAGATATAGAAAAAGGTTGCTTGTCAACTAGAGAGATATTATTCGAAATAAACATTGTGAATAAAGTGATATTAAAAAATACAAAGCAGTGGTTATGTTCGAATAATATCTCTCTAATTGACAAGCAACCTTTTTCTATATATATATATATATATATATATATATATATATAATATATATATATATTATATATATATATATATATATATAATTTAACAAAAGAGTTATAAGGAATGCAAAGCAAACTTGCCTGATTTATTCATTGACTGGAGTGTCGGTGATGGAATGATTGAAATAGTCGAGGCCTGTGCATATACTCCATGCACGACAGTAACCGCCAAAAGAACTGCGCCAAACTAAAAGTACAATATCGCCAAGAAGATTATTTTGATGTGTTTATTGCAAATGGAGATCAATATAACGAAAGTAGAATCGGCCGATTGTATGAAAACAAATTTTACTTGATGGCAGAATTGGCCAATCAGAGTCGTTCATTTCTGTTTCAACCGCGTCGTTTTAAGAAGGCAATTTATAGTTTGAAGTTTTATACAACAACCCGAGGGCCGAGGTTGTAAAGATCAAGCGATGTTGATTTATTTATCCAAATAGAGGTATAGCTATATTGTAAATAGGCAATAATTCTCGAATTCTCGAAATTCCGAATTCGTCATTTAAAACCTTCTCAAAGACAACAACGCTGATCCAGCATCGTGACATTCAAAAACTGAGTCGATGTTCAAGAACTTATATATTGTATTTTTCACGCTTACCTAACTTGAAAGTTAAAATGTTGTTAGCACTTATTGAAATAATCTTGGATTATATTTCTGATGTTTTAGATCGTTTTTTATTATAGATTACACTTTTTACAAATCTCCAAATGGTGTGGGGGGGGGAGGGAATTACCCCCCGACCCTAGCTCCTATAGGGTTGAGGCCCGCCTATAGACTCGAATTCTTTTATATAATCTGGCTTAACAAACGCGGTGTGTGGTATTGCTCTTAATCCGGTTATATTGTCCCATCCAATTAGCCAACGATTTACAAAAACGTTAAGTTAGGCAAAAGAAAATGAAATGGTCGCGAACTTGGAAACCATATGACGCTTGTATTATTAGAAACAAAATTGTTTCGTGACAAAAGATTTCAATTCATGTTATAATGGAACTGATAATGATCCCAGTTTTACCTCGCGTGTTCTCGCAAGATATACGTGATCATTTTCCACAATACTGACTTATAATATTACATCATGCAGACATATGTTAGCTCCATTACAGCATTTTGAATTCGAAGCATGGCAATCGCTCGTCAACTTTGAGCTAGTTCGAATTTTGGCAATACCTCCACAATTCGATTGAAATTTCCGCGTGGACAATTTTCAATTCAATCCCCATCGACCAGCAACAGAATCACTACAAACACTTTAAACGACTTTAAACATTCAAACTATACAAGCTTTGCTAAAACTTACCATACTAAACTTAGCCATTAGCCCGAATATGATATGAACTTGATCGAAAGTTCGTTCTTCAATACAACCTTAGGTCTGTTGAGACGCCTGAAGTGTAGCGGTAAACTATATCGCAATTAATCAATGCTTTAACGCTTTGGTTCAAAGTAGTTTTAAGCCCTGCACAAAAAGCGTTTATCTTCTTTCGTTTATACGGAGATTAAAAAGATAAACAGTGCTTAGACAAGAAGCGAGCTGCTAGGCAACACAAACAAACAACGAAAAGTCCAAGTAAAAAATAAATGCAAACATAGTTAGATATTCATATGCAGACTTGTGTCTCCAAAGGAGAAGAGCCGAGCACTTCCGTATATTTCAGAAGAAACTGGTACCGATTATTATATATCAATTTAATAATGTTATTGTCCAAATCTACGTTAAATCCACAATTCCGCAATTAACACCTTGATTTTTCAGTGCAAGAAATGCGATATCTTTTTTTGTGTCTTGAAATAACCGTCACCTTGGTTACCAAGAGCTTGCGACAAAAATTTAAATTGTTTGTTTAAGAAAAAACGGTTTGTCACTTTCCTATTCGACGACAATGCTTTTAGTTTGTATTTCAAATTTACTTCTGCAATCTAATAATTTCAGCTGCTGTAGTTATTTCAGTTTCGTTTTAAAATTAAAGTTGATAGTTGTATAGTAGGTGGCTTGACTTCCGTTGTATCCTTGTTATTCTTGTATACTACGGATGTAAGATAGCATTTCTGTTATAACTATGATCCTTTATTGACATTAAAACCAGTCTGTTTTACTTAATAGCCGTTATATATTATTCATAAAGATCTAGAGCAAATATGGCTGAATATTTTTCAACTATATTGCAACTATTTCCACAAACGCCATGCGAATTTGGGATTTTCAGTGCTAAAACTTAGAAAATATTAGAAATTTATATATGAAAATTGTACATTTTTTTTAACTGAAATTAGGATTGAGGGCATTGTTATTCTAATCTTGTGAGCAAACTATGTTCTAATTTGAATTTTTTTATGACGCTATGACGCTGCAAACCTGTAATGGTAATGCAAATATAATTTTTCTTTCATTTTCGATTTTGTCATCATTTTCAGCGATGTGAATATAATTTCGTTTTTATATTTAAATTGGTCATCGGTCATCATGTTGACCGCACACACGTGGCAATATTCTATCAGATCAAGCACCTTGACATGATCATGAAAAAATACGACTAAAATACAGTGATAATTTCATGTCCAGAATCCACGAATATAATCCTTTTTCTAATCCTTTGGTGTAAGTAGTTAGGTAAGGATTAGGGCCAGGTTTAGGATTAAAAGTTAGGATTATATTCGTGGATTCTGGAAATGAAATTATTACTTAAATTACAACTAAATGGCAACCAGGCTTAACTGGAATCCGGTAACCTTTGTTCGTTTTTTTAATAGTGCACCCGCTGCAAACTAAAACCTTAAAACCTTTGCCCAAATATTGAGAAGCAACTTGTGCGCCAAAATGGCCGAATGCCATTTTTTACTTCCTTCCGAAAATATCCGACTGTGCGTCATATCTTATTTTGTGTAATAGGGTTTGGTCACACGGAGGGAAAGATAACAAACAGATGGGCCCAAAAATCTGCTAGCATTAGCTTTGTTGAATATGAGAGATGTGGGGGACGTGCTCAACAATTTGATTTTGGGGGCCGTGGATTGCTCTCACCAACCCGGGTTGAGTTCATCGTTTAAGAGTTCATAAAATTATAGTACATATAAGCAAACATTTATTTCATTGCAAGTGTCCTGAAACAGGCAAAAGGTTGTCATTTTTTAATTCTAAGACTTTTGCAATTCTAGGTAATTCTACAATTGTAGATGAACACCTAACGAATTCTAGGTAATTCTACAATTATAGGAATACCTAACCCGCGAACGGGCATATTTTAGAAAATTTTTGAAATTATTGCATATTTTTAATAAGAAACTGTGTTTTGTTCTTCACTACAACAATACAGACGACCTCACATTTTCACAGGTAAGGAATCGTTTTAACAATTTCTATATAGTTAATAATATCACTCAATATAATATCTTATGTCGGAAATGGTTGGTAAACGAAGACATGCATGCGCACCATATCGAAAAACACCAGTATTTGAAGGTTCAGTAATTTTAGATTCGTTTGTGTAGTCCATATGACGACATATAAATTGTCGGAAGACAGGAGTAGAAACACTGACTTTACAATTCTCCTTTTGTGCTTCATTATGATCAATATAACTGTTCCCGGGAAAATAAGCTGGCATGTGTTATCTAGGTTTATTTTAGGTAAAGAGATATTCGATATTTTCAAATTCATCAGTTAGTTCCGATTCATTGCCCTTCCTGGAGTTATAGTAGATGTTTTCATTTTGCACTTACAAGTATATCGAAGTTATTCTTATTGTTTATGCACAAGTTTTCTGGATCCGTAAATATTTCTACCCCAGTGCAGGAATCTATAGTGTCTAAGCAGCTATGTTGTTCCACATACGGTATTAAACCTGTTCAGCTGCCAAACACGAACAATCATAAATATTCAGGCTATAAATACGAATTTGTATATGTGGCGGCTTCTTTAAGTCCTGTTATACGGCGTATATAATTAAAACCAAAATCATATAAAACATAGTGTCGTTGAACATAAAAAATATATCTTTGTGGTTAACAGCAAATGTAATTAAAAGTGAAAATTTTCAAAATATGGTCGAAACAAATTTCTGAAAGGCGAATTTCTGAACGTTTTAAAATAGACCCGCGCATTAGGAAATTTTAATCTAGATTTTAATCTAGGCCATTCTCCACAAGAATTTTAAAAATGCGTCACAAAGCTACGAAAGTTTCGTTGCAAATAGTTGCAAAATATGAAAAATATAGTCCATCAACGTTTGTTTATTTTGTATGAATTAGCGTTACGCGGTTGAAATTAATGCTTTTCAGAAACTTACGAATTTTATTAATTTTGTCATACCCTCTCCTGCTGAAATTAAGTTTCGTTATATCAATTTTATGCACCGTGGATTTTTCTATAATAGTGAGGCATTCAAATCATTGTAATGATAATCACCTTAGCCATGTCATTCTGTTCTACAGGGGCCGGTTGTATCAAGCCCGTTTAGTTTAAACGGTGGATAAGTTCAAAATGGAAAGCAAGTCTGTCGTTTTATTCAACAAGCAAACTAAATGTTTTTCACCTTAATACAAAGATATTGTTTACAACTACATATTCAGTGCATAATATTCAAGTTGACTCTTTCAAGATAGTTGTAAGAGTGTTATTTAATTTTGACTTATCCACCGTTTAAGCTTAACGGGCTTGATACAACCGGCCCCTGAGCTATAGCCTAATAGAAATAATTACTAAATAGCTATTTGTGGCTCTCGGAATGTTCAAGGGCACACACATTAGTATGTAAACTGAAACTTCTTTGTACTATTGCAGGAGGCATAAATTAAATATCTTCTCCTATTTTTTCTAGCTGCATTTTTGGAAACTGTGTCAGATGTCATAATGGAGAGGTTTCTTGCAGTTCCTGGTAGTGATATACAACTTAATAGGGAATTGCGTAACAGTTTAGAAGCTTCAAAAAAATCGATAAAAGAAGCAGAAAAAGCCCTCAATGGCAATCGTTACAAGTCGTTAAAAGAAGAATATTTATGTGATGCTTTTAAAGAAATCGAAGAAAATGATTTCGAGAAAGTGGTGGATGAATTGCAAAAGTTACTCAAATTGCGAGATGAAACAAAAACAGCACTGCTTGATGCATTGGGCACGACTGAACGGCTAGTAACGGATTGGAGCTATTTTGAGATTGATGATAGCAAATATGAAATTATTTTCATTCAAATTGTCTTCCAGAAAAAAAAAAAAAAAGTGAATCTAGGGGTCGCAAAATATAGCATGAAGTTTGAGTTGGCCATGTTGGTCGAAAAAAGGCTTCGTTGGGGGTGCATCCCCATTAAGACCAGAAGGTATTTGGATGAAGAAACGCTAGCTATGACTATTGAACGTCAGAAAGAACAGTTCAAGATTCTGTGCAAAGCCAAGTTATTTCGCTATGTTGATGAAAAATGTGAAAACTAAAAAATCAAAAGCTATGTTTAAATAAAACGAATGTAATAATTGCACATAAATGATGGGCGAATCATTATTTTAGAAAGGGATATGGTAAGGCCATATTGAAATGTGATATTGGGGGATCAGCTTTCTAATGCCTATTTCACGGGTTTTTTCCCACCAGCGCAATTTCTGACTGAATCTATGATGGTGTTTGGGTGGGACACACACCTTTTTTGTAGAATTTCTGAAGCAATAATCCATTCGCCCTCACGTCGAAGCGTCAAGACGTGTTTTTGTCTATTTTAGCAAAGTTAATAGAATATACATGGTTTGGAGAATGAAAGTACAACTCATTTACTATGTTATTGTCCAGGTTTATGCAAAAAAATTCTTTCTCGTCACGTGTTTATTGTATTTTAACCAAATTTACCAATGGCAAATACAATAGACGTGTGATGAGAAAGGAACAATTTTTGCATAAATCTAGTCTCCAAACCATGTATGTTCTATTAACTGTGATTTTAGGCAGTTGTTACACCACATTTGATGCCAAGATAAAACAGTCTTCCTTATAGCGATATGCAAGCACGCAATTTTGCCTTTATGAGAATTCTACTTTTTCTCCTCGGACACGGTACTTAATTTTCCCTCCCTATCTTTTTCTAATGGCTATTAGGGGAAGTTATTCTTACTGCCAATTCACATGTTTTCTGGCTCTGTAGTTATTTCTACGTAGGCGAAAATGTCTAAGTGTCTAAGTTAGCTATACTTGATTTATGGTTCAACATACGCTTTTAAACCGGTTCAGCTGCCATGCAAACACGTATATATTAAAGCCATTCATAGTATATGTGGCGTTTTCTTTATCAAGATCGTTGTGTATAAAACCAAAATGATATAAAACATATATAGTGTGATTGAACGTAAAAATATCTTTGTGGTTAACAGAAAATCTACTTAAAATTAAATGAAAAATTTCAAAATATGATCCAAACAAATTTCTGAAAGGCGAATTTCTGAACGCTTTTAAGTAGACCCACGCATTAAGAAATTTTAATCCAGATTTTAATCTAGGCCATTCTCTAAAACGCGTCACAAAGTTAGAAAAGTTTCGGAGTTTCGTTGCAAATAGTTGCAAAATATGAAAAATATAGTCCATCAACGTTTGTTTATTTTGTAAACCCTCTCCTGCCGAGGTAAAATTAGGTTTCGTTTAATATATCAATTCTATGCACTGCGGATTTTTCTATAATAGGGACGCATTCAAATTCAAACTAGACCTTGTTTTCATTGTGAGCGAAGTTTCGCAGTTTCGTTGCAGAAGGTTGCAAAGTACGAAAAATATAGTCCGATTAACGTTTGTTCATTTTGTATAAATGTTTTCTATTTCTTTTATAATATAACTCAAAAACAAGATTTTGTATAAATTTTTTGATTCGATCAATTGATCAATTCTCATTACACACTTCGCTTCGAGGAAACAATTTAATTAATTTAGTTGACGAATTTAAGTTTTACATACATACGGCTTTATTCTAATTCAAATTCGCTTCAGCCGCCTGGTCGTATAATATATCAGCACGATAACGTTCACATCTAGAAAGGTAAGGACTGAAACAATTTTTATATGTCAGAAATGACAAGTAAACACAAACAAACATGGGTTTTTGATGGTAAATTTGACTCTCATTGCCATTGCCAATGGGAATTGATCGTAAATGACGACATAGCTATATAGGTAATCAGTATCAATTAGGACTAGATATATTATTAAAGGAACCATATAATTCCCTTTAACGTTTAACAGTAGCAATCCAACATTGACGAAGAAGATATGACAGCATCTATATTAGGGAATTTTACGGAAAATATAACGCCGGATTATTGGGGACGTCGTTAGTCTGTTCGACGATGTATAAATTGCCTCAAAGAACACACCTCAGTCTCTAGTAATACTTATTATGCTCTATAATTGTGAATTTCGAGCTTATATATACATATATTATTCCAAATATATACAGTCAGGTTATTACTCCGGCGCCAGCGACGGAGTTGAAAATTCGCCTCGGTTTTTTTTTTTTTTTATTTTTCGTCGTCGCAAGTCTGTAATGGCACGAAAATTAAAATACTAGTATTTGAAATGTGTATGTGACCGTATAGTTATCTACGTCCCAGTCTTATCTCCCAAGAGTTGTGCTGCACAGCTTTGGCTAATTTTCCGATGCGCGATTCGATTTCGCTCGCATGATACGGCAATTCCTCCAAGAGGAACAAATAAACCGTTCTTTTCATGCTGTTCGATTAGTTTAGATTGAATTGGGGTAAGAACATATTTAATACGTGTAGATTCTGGTCCTATTTTAATAATATCGCTGCTATTTTGCCGTTTAACAAGATGATGTGGTCGTGTATGGGCGCGTTGACACGTCGTAGTTTGGACAGGATTGAAGATTTAATATAACTATATAAGCGCGAATTCCAAAAGCAAAGTGTAAGACAAAGCGAATGTATCATGCGGTTTATTTACATTTTTGAACAATTGAACTTCTATACTTTTTTAAGTACGATGTGCTTCTGAATTTCGCGATCGAACATTTAGGTTCGCAAGGCATCTAAATAGATATGAACTGTAACTGTTCAGAAGCTTTATAATATTGAAGACTGGCACGTGCGCCGGAATTAACGCCAGAACAGGCGTCTTGTTCGGTTTTTAGATTCATAAGCTTGTTCCGACCCATTGCCCTTCCTATAGGACTATATATTGTACATACACTTTCACTTTGTTACATACCGTAGTTATATATGGCAACTGTACGTTGCACTTTTTTTATCAAAATCTGGGCAACTGATACCAAGATGCATGTGTGAAACTGTGTCATTGAACGTGAAAATATTTTGACTTATAGCGAAATTCTTGAATGCGTGGTTCAACATGAATGCAATTGTAAAGTCTTCGAATAGCTTAGGGGTATTCAATTAACTCTCGGTCAAGCGATCTCACAGCTTTTGTTCGATCGCATAAGCGCTATTTGTGGAGGACTTTCCCACAAAATGTTTGATTCAGGCATTGCCAGAATGTTTCCACATTTTACAACGCGACCCAAAAGTTCCTGTTATTGACGTCATGCTTCAGATGGCATTTCAATGTCTGGGGCTAAAGTGAATGCGGATTGTTTACCAAATGCGAGTGTTGAATATGCTGAACTACAGATTTTAACAGTCCACACATAAAATAGATATTTTCTTCTATTTTTTCTAGCTGCATTTTCGCTTAACAGGAAAAATTGTCAGTTGTCATAATGGAAAGATTTCATGTACCTCCTGCTAGTGAAATGATTTTCAAACTTTACAGACAATTGCGTAACGTTTTAGTCTCTCCCAGAGAGGGGATTAAAGAAGCAGAAGAAGCCGTCAATGGCATTCGTTACAAGTCGTTAAAAGAAGAATATTTATGTGATGCTTTTAAAGAAATCGAAGAAAATGATTTCGAGGAAGTGGTGACTGAATTGCAAAAGTTACTCAAATTGAGAGATGAAGCAAAAACAGCACTGCTTGTTGCGTTGGGCACAGTTGAAAGGCATAGCGATTGGAGCTATTTTGAGGTTGATGATCACGAGGGTGAAATTGGTTTCGGGCAAATTGTCCTCCATAAAAGCAACGGAAAAGTAAATCTCGGAATTGCAAAGTATAGCATGAAGTTTGAGTTGGCCATGTTGATTGAAAAAACGTATATTTTAGGAATCTTCCCCCACACGACCACAATGTCTGCAGATGCTGGACCACTAAGCATCAGTGAACGTCAGAAAGAACACTTCAAGACTGTGTGCAAAGCCAGGCTATTTCGGCACGTTGACGCAAAATGCCGAGAATAAGAAATAACAGACTATTTTGGACACTGGAGACGATGGAGCGAATCAAGGCTATATATATCACGTGACTATTAAACATGGCTTATTTTCTTCACTTTTCTCTGGTTTCTTTATTAATATCATATTGTTCGCCTTACCGGGATATTTAAGTAATTTTCAAAAGAGAATTTCCAACGATTTCCCATAAAATTAACGTAGATATATATACTGTATAGCAGAACAAACTGCGTTACAGTGGTAAAATTGGTGAGCCATATAAAAAAAGTATATATCATGTAACAACATTAATTTTGCGTAGACACTGGATAGTATTTTACCAAATAAAAGTTGCACAAATATATTGTATTTATTCACATAGATCAATTATAGTGATGAAGCTTTGATGAACCTAATGCTTCGCAATAAGATATCTACAAGTCCGAAAGGTATGGGGTCAGTGCGTCTGGGAACGCAGTTAGTAGGAGCCCCAATTATTAATTATCAATAGATAGATAGATAATTACTACATCAGGGTGGCTTAGAACCAGACTTCTTCAGAGCAAAAATCCTAGTTATTGGGACGGGGGTAACGGGGTTGGCCTCTTCAAGGTATAGTCGATGCGAATATTCCGTGAAACCTAGAAGCTTGAACTTGCATACTCGTTCAACACAGCAGCCAAAAGGACAATATGGAAATTCCGTTAACTATGGGGGCAATACACTAGGGGAGTAACCCAGCTTTCTAGAGAGTTTGATATTAATGTGTCGGTAGATATAAAAAATTGTTCTGAAAAATTGAACTGTAGTTGATATTAAAATTTCCCGCCTATTTTCATTCTTTGGCTCGTGCGCAAAATCTCCGCGATCCGTTATGAAATTTCAAATGTTTTCGTCTTGCGGGGGTTTATTTATTGATCTACAAATGGATTTTAGCCAACCAGTGCCTCCTGCAATAAATGTTATAGTCCGGAGTCTGAGTCTAATATATTTCACTTCTGTAATCTGGGCGGAAGAACCATGCACTAGCCTGAACACAGACCTTCGTTTCGCCCACCTTAAAATTCGCGGGGAGACGCAAAGGCGAAACAAAAGTCTGAGGAAAAGTGCTCAAAAGCGTATGCAAGCTGATTGGCTAATTCGCAGAAAGATGCCTTTTGATATAGCTAACGTACATAACAAAGGATATTTTGAAAGGTTCGTTGGCAATCTTCAGCAATTAGGTGAAATGACAAGTATTTATACTTTTTATATTTGAGTAGAGATTTTACGAATCACAGAAATGGATGTAACGATATTCGCGTGCGATAAGTAGAAAAATTAAAACGTCTCGGAATCCGGCTGTGTCCTACGCACCCTCAATGAAACTGTTTATACAGCGACAATTATTATTACTAGTGAACACTTCTGTGTAAACGGCTAAAAATTACCGAAACAAAAGACACACTCACCCGACATACTCCGTGAATGTTTACATGAAACTATAGTTAGCATTGAAATAACATTAAATGTGTCAATCATCAGCGAAATTATTTAATTAAGTAGCAACGTGGGAGAAACACGCGTTTGAACACTTTTTCATCAGGCTCAGACCTTTGTTTCGCGAATTTTAAGGCGGGCGAAACGAAGGTCCGTGTTCAGGCTAAAGAACCACCAGTCTTTGTAGCGATTAATGCCCTTAATTTTCGCTCAAGAAAAGAAGGATATTTCTGGCTTCTTGAGAAGTACAGCAGGACCGCGATTTAGAACTACAGTGAAAGACTGACTGAATATTACAACATTCAGAAAGCGATTAGTACTGTAACGTTTGGAAAATTATAAGTACAGTATTATCACTGGCAATTCCGTTTTTTGGTACTTCTGCTTTCTCGACTTAAGGCGGATTGCAAGGGACATACGGGGTTAGCGTTATGATTTGACAAGAATTTTACCCAAAACAAAACTGAAATCTAATACCACAGCTCGAAGTTAGAATTAGGGTTAGATTTAGGATTAGGGTTAATCTTAATCAACCATAATCCTAATATATGACACCTAATTTTAACCCTAACCTAATTTCACGTTTAAATCCGTGTAATTGGGTTTTACTAAACATGGAATTACCCCAGAAAGAGCACCTCGGAATGAGCATACCTGCATGCAACGCTTTTTCCTGGTCATCAATTCACTACTTTAAACCGTTTAGCAGGCAAACTTTGCCGTTTTACTCATTTGAAGATGCTTTTTCTAGCTCTTTGTGCTCTGATATTTACCTAGAATAAATTTTGTTGCTTGGCTGGAGTCGTCCACATCAATCGCCATTTTCCACAACATGCATTCCAACAAAACTACATTTGCATTTCAGAGATCTAGCTTTTAATACAACTTGAGAACGGCAAAACATTGTAAAAAGCAACGAATCTGCCTCAGTGTTTAACAGATGATTCAAACGATAGACTAAATTTCGAACAGAACAAAAAGAACATAATGCAAACAACACAACTAGAAAGAGCATCTGAAATAAGTTTCACTGCAAAGTTTTGCTAAAAACATTTCGCCGAAGCAGAAAATACTAGCCTGAAAATCTGCAAATCTCATATTTACAGGCGGAGGAAATACTCATTTTCGGACGGAAAAAGGCTATTTCCTATATTTTTACAATATTTCAAAATCAAACTTTGGGGTTTAACTCAATCTAAGATGCTCTTTCCAGATGTGGTGTTGAATTATATTCTTCTTGTCGGGATCAAAAACTTTGTCGATAACCGGAGCATTAGTCTACCCATTGGCTGGTACCAGCTGTCGCTATCTTGCTAACTATTACATGATCAAAAGATGTACAATTATAGGTCCTTTATAGCCTATGTCAACGCCATTACAAAATAAATACTTTTAATATGTCTTATTATTTTGAAATTGTGTTGTCTTCACTGGACCACAGGCGACGGATCGTTTTGAAAGCGGCCTTCATGTGGCCGCGTGTCTCTGGGCCTGAGCTCGAACTCTTTTCTCGTAGTCGACCCGATTTTGACTAAAAATAAAGGGCCGCGTGCGTGAGAGAAAACACACGAAAACGTTTTCTGGCCTGGCATGCTCAATTTAAGCATGCGCTGACACTGCAAAAAAGAGGGCTGCTCTTTCAAAAAACAAAAATCCTGGTGCACCCTTTCTCTAAAAGGAGGTATGGTGCCCAAAAAACTGGGTGCCACCTCGACCAAAAATAGCTTGGTTTCTCGTTTCAAAAAAAAGTGCAAGAAGTGCGCCTGCCCCATAAAATAAGGGGCGTGGCACCCAATGTAAAAAGGCCAGGTGACCCTTTGAAAAATAGGCCTGACCCTGGATAGAAAAATATACCATGCCTCTTCAAAAATATGAGGGTTGCCCCCCCCCCCCATGAAAAGAGCCTATTGCACCCTCCTCCAAGGAAGTGGACTTAGTGCTCCTCTCAAAAAAGGGGCCTGCCTATCTCAAAGAAAAAGAGAGGCTACTGCCAAGGGTAAAAACAGAGGCTTCCCCATTGGAGAGGCCTGGTGGTGGCCCATACATGAACAACCACATGCCCCATTTAAAAAAAGTAGGCATGGTGCCAGCACTGGTGCTAAATTCATGATGTGAAATTGATCTCAGATGAACTTTCTGGTTTAGTTCAAGCAACTGGGTAAGATAAAAATCTTAGCCTCAATGAGAATTCCATTGGCAATCCTGGATTGCCAATAATAACTCTTGACCAGGAGTCCAGGACTCCACTGGCCACAAATACTTGTTGATGCATTGCAACGGTACCTGTATATTGTATAAGCTTCAGCTTGCGCGGGATCCTTTATATTTGGATCATTTAAGAGATCTTGTACGCCTAAAAGAATCTGGAAATAAAAGGAAAGAACATCTTAGAGCTCTGAATGAGAGTCAACTTTTGACTTACAACAGATTATGATGGCTGATTGTAGATCAGTTATGATTTTTGGCACTTCACTCAATGCAGGTAAATTCTAAAGGTTTACAGGGTCTTAATGGCAAGAGCATTGCATCGGCATCGCAAAAGCGTAGGTTCCATTCCTGCCGGAGGACCTATAGTTTACTCATTTTCCCATCAACTGTTCCTGGCTTGAATATGAAGTGTGTATAATTCCACTCGAAATTAAGACCCTTTGAACCTTATGATGGCTGATTGACTATTCTGACACAATTCACAGGAGTTTTATAAGGTTATTCATACGTCTGTAGTATTTTAGACTTACTTGTTTTATAGTGACCGCTGGTCTCCAATCTTTTTCTTCATCTAGTAATGATAGACAAACCGTTCCCGAAGGGTATACATTTGGGTGGAATATCGGTGGTTCAAATTTACCTAAAAGTGATTGTATAACATGGTTAATTGTCTCCAACCTTGAAAAACAAAAAGGCTTGGAAATTATTGTGTTATAATAAGTAACTAAATTTGTGTACCCCAACACGGAAAATCTGATTTAGCACATTTGGGTCCATAGTGAGAGTCAGATGGATGATGTCAACTTACATTTTGGTGGTGACGAGGGATAATCATCTTTAAAAATCATTCTTAATTTATACTGTCCACCTTCCCATGGAGTCTATTGAGAAACAAAACAACCAAATTAACAGGAGTATTTTTTGGTAATTATGTGAATAATATTTGTGTAACTTCCAGAAAGTTGTACTATCATATCCATAATTGCTTATACATACTCCTTTCTTCCCAGGTATAGCTGCAAAAATATACAGAGATATTAAATAAATGTGGCTCAGCCAAATATATGCAGGCATGTTAATATTCAAGAACTACCATCTATGTTAGCTAAGGTTGTATTTTGAATAAATAACAAACTCATAACCCCCAAGACCCTAAAAGATGATTCAAGTCAATTTTTCCAATAAAAAAGGGTTTTATTTATATATTTCCATCTCGTTATAAGCAAAAGATATACACAGAACAGACTTCACTTCATCTTAATGAAGAATTGCTAATGTGACTCTCAATTATACTCAAGTATGTTACATAAATATTCTTTAATATTTCAGTGAAATTAATTCATAAACAAATATACACAAAACATACCACATTCCCAATTCATAAGATTTAAAGTTCCATCAGGATTTTTCGTAGGTTTGGCAACAAAACCCTAAAATGACGTAGTTAAGAAGAATTTGAGACAAAGAAACTTGACTTAGCTTGAGATTATCAGAGAAATTCCAAAGTCCACCACTTTTGGCATGTGGCAAAGTAATGTGTTAACAGCCAGGATTTAAGTGTTGCTTATTATGGCAAATTCACACAGGGATAAAACTGTAGTTTTAATTGAACTGATGCAAATAGCACAGCCTGTCAAACAGTTTAGTCTCAGTATTCTCACATTTTTATGTTTATTGACTGTGTAAACATATTGACTGTGTAAACAATTTTTTTCTAAAGAAATGAATATTTACAAAAACTTCAAATTTCCATAGTGGGCTTAAAGCTATGCAACTGGATTTCAAATAGATTTCCTAAAAATAAATTAACTTAAAAATAACCCAAATACTCAGTAATCCTTTACACTTTAACAGTCAAAGTATATGAATAGCTACTGTAAAAAAAATTGTTCACATCATTGACCTACTAAATTTTCAACAAAAATACCTCCACTTCCTGCTGTAATTAGCTAAGCTGGAAATGTGCCCAGATGCGTTCTATTTTGGCATTCTATTGTGTCATAAGCATTATGGGAGTGCCACAGACTAATAAAAATTGTCTGGTGTTAAACAGAGCGAAATACTGATACAAGGCAGATTTGGATACAATGCCTGTGAAAGGTTTTATTCAGAGACAAAAAGTTATTTTTTTTCTTGAAAACATTACTCAGCAATACGCTTAGTTTCAAGGGGATAATATCCAGATTGCTTATATACACTGTATGTGAACATAGAATATTGTTCATGAAATCATCTTGGCCCTTGAATGTGATAATCAAAATGCTACACAATGATTCGCACTGGCCCATCACGAAACAATCCTGGCAATCCACAACGATTCGCACTGGCTCATCAAGAAACAATCCAGCGAAATATTATATGCTTTTTTATTTCGTGATTGTCTTTTCTTCTATCTATTTCACATGTTTGAGACTTATAATACATATACACAGGACCATAACATGTTGAGAACCAAGCCAAAAGATTGAGGGCCAACTTTTGACTTTTCAAATCCTCAATGCCATTAAACATGAATAAAATTCAGAAAAAAAACATTTAAAAAGAAATCAATTCTGCATTATTTTACACCTAACATCTCTAGCTATTTCTCTGCGAGAGGAAGTCAAATTATATTTATTTGTCATGTACTTTATATATTTCACAAAAAATATGAATAAATCAAGGACACTTCATGTGTATACAACTGAAATAAAACGAAACATAAACAAGTGTAATTTTTTGTACCTAAAGATCGCTATCACGGATAGTTAAAGCAAACGAACTCGCTCTCAAACAGAACACTTTGCGGTTACAGAAGTACTGTACAAAATTATAAAGTTAGACAACATAGAATCAGACGTGACTCATCACAGAATTGTATAGAAGATGCTTAGCTATAAAAAACTCTCTATGAAAGGGGAAAGTGTTGCCAGATAAAGCTATTCTGTATATATCATGAAGCAAGTTTGAGCTTTCTTTCAAAGTCTCAATGATAGACGGACAAGGGATGGTCATTACACGGGCTGATCGGAACTGTCCGGGTCTACATCGTGTATAAACAAAGTTTCTAACTTCTAACACAAGCCACATGTCAACTTTGAATACGTACAAATGGGTGATCTTTTCGCCAGGCTTTCCTTTCCTCTGACAAACGACCAAGAGCAATGCCAGACATCGTTAGAAATTCACCGAAAAGATGCCAAATTTGAGAGATCTCCTTGAAATCTACATTGGAAATATGAAATTTTGTGATTTCAAAAACGATTCTTGCCAAAAGTTTACCTCAGCTTTTCAGAACCGAGGACCGCGGTGCGCCTTGGGTAATATGTGTTTCCACCATGTGTCAGCTAAATTTCATCCGACAATTTTCCTTATATTTTCACTATCCTCCTGGAATTGAAACACAATAAGTATCCATGATTTTGTCACGAAAAAACATCAAATTTTGAATTACTACCTTTTTTATATAAACTCGGATTGGCCCTCGCCAGAATTAATGAAATACTGTTCATGCCTAGAACACTTCATCATCCAGGAAGTATTAAGTTTCCATGGTGGAAACATAATGCCTGAGGGTGTGACTGATAGGAGAATTTCGTTTTTGATCAACTTGAGCGATTTATGTTAATTAGGAATATCCGGCGCTTTTTACCTCGATATTGGCCAGCGATATAGGCCCTGCGGAAACAAAAGATCCGTCACAGGCCAAAAAACAACTTGAAAATATAGCAAAAACAGCTTAAAATTTTTCATCAATTAGGGATTCTAAAAAGAATAATGTAATCAAACCTGCTTTACCTGCATTTGATCTACGCATTTCATTCTTATTTAGCAAAAATTGAAATCAGCTTATTACATTTAGCAACAGTAAACAGTTGGTTATTTATATTTAGAAAGATTACATATGCATATATTTTCTATTAAAAAAGTATAAAAGTGCTGCCAAACCCATGATAATTTGTATGGCATGGCAGTTTTTACAAGAAGAATTTAAAACATTTGAAAGATACAGAAAATCTTCCCGAAAGGTCGAGAGATCTTCTGTATTCCAGAATATTCCAATACAAAAATATTATGAGTATTTTCTTTACATAACTTTACATAAAATTATCCAAATTACAGTGTTTTTGAATGAATTTTGTAATTAAACTTCATCTCTTTTCTTCCAGTAAACTCATCGTCGGACGAATCATCATCTATGGGTACATTTGAACTCCGAGGGTTCTTTTGGGTCGCAGGAATCTTTCTTGGTCTCTCGAGGCTCTTATACACTCGTTCCATAAGTTTCGGATCAAATTCTGAATCCTCGCTGAAGGAGTAAATCGCCGAGGAGACTTCGTTGTGTGAAATGGAGCTATCCTCAGGCTCCGATAACAATTCATCATCGCAGAGTAACCGTTGCAGTCGAACCAAAAGATCTTCGCTCGTATCACTTGCCGTTGTTCCTTTTTTCTTCCGCTGTTTCATTGATTTTGAAATTGAGGACACTTCTTTACTCTCATTTTTCTTCATTGCATCATTCTAAATAGATAACAATCTGCTGTAGTTACTAGTTTTAAAAAAGATATTTTTGGAGAAATAAATTACGGTAATTTTTAAAAAAAAAGATCAAATGCTGGCTCTTCCCTTCAAAAGAAATTTGCCAAACGAAAATTTACTAGTGCGTAAGAGGTTTTCACTCCAGAATACATGTTTTCAAATGAATTAATTTACAGAGACTTTGATCAAGTCCATTCGTTCTACTCACATCTTCGCTCTTGAGTTGTTTGAATGTGTGAACGGTCACACCACGAGATGCCAGTCTGTCTTGCGAGGTTTGTGTGGAAAAGCTTGTGCTACTGGTAAACCCAACCCTCTCATTTCCATTCGAAGAGTTCAACATCTTTTGTTCATCCGCGCCCCGGGCGTTGTAACTTTCTCGTGACGACTGAAAGTTGACAAACGAGAGGCTGCTATTTTGCACGTCCATGAATCCAGCTGGTTTCCTCTGATGGTGTTGCAATGATGGTCTCTCCTCTGTCCTCTCTGCCTGAGATACCCCATTTTTACCCAACACAGCAAGATTTGGATCTTTTACCCCATTTCCACCTATGGAAGCAAAAGACCTTTGAATTATTTTCATCATTTCATCATTCAAACTAATTTTGTGTTTTTACGTTTTGTTTGGGGTTAAAAACACAGACATAAGTAGCCAGCAAGTAAACCTCAAGATAGCAAGATCACCTACCTTTATTTCGCTTAGGTTTTGGAGGAACAGGTGGAGGTTTTTGTTTCTGTTGAGATGCAAAATTTGTTCCAGTTACGGTTTTTGCTGTCATAGCATCTCTCGAAATTTTGACTTCCTGAAAGTGAATATTTTCTTGCGATTTTGAAACAGTGGCGCTATCGTTCTTCGCTTCTTTATACAATTGAGATTTGGGTCGAGTGAGCTTTCTTTCAACATTACTTCCATTTTGTCGCTCGACAGAAGGGATGACTGTAACACCATTGGTTGTTCGTTGTTTTTGAAAGTTACTGGGGTAACTCTGGGTTTGATTTCTTGAGTAGGGCGTTGTTGTCCCACTGGGACTTAATTGGAAAGGTTTCACGTCTGTAGATTTTACCAAACTGTTTAAAATGGAACTAGAAGATTGAGCTGTGGACGGTATTTGCCCGGGAGTTGTTGTTGGATTTTGGGATGCTCCAAGTCTCTTCTTTTCTGAAGATGAAAGAAGAAAACTCAATGTAAAATATGGTATGCTTGGACATGGCATGGTATATGTATGCTTTGTTATTTAAGCCATGGTCAAACTCGTTTAGCTATGATGTGATATATATATATATATATATATATATATATATATATATATATATATATATATATATATATATATATATATATATATATATATATATATATGGTATATATGATATATGGTATGTGGTATGATATGGTATGGTATGGTGTGGTATATTATGTGATAATAAGGTGCAGTGTAGAACAGTAAGGTATAATGTGCTACAGTATGGTATAATAAACTATAGCATAACAGCAGCACATGCAGAGTAGTAAAACATGGTTGTGTATTGTACCTTCTGCATCTAAAGGTCTACCACGACCAGCTCCATCGGTCTTGTCCACTTCTAACGAGGCAGTACGAACCAAGATTGGAGTAATAGCACCCTCACGCGAACTACTCAACAACAAAGACGACTCCTCGTCAATGGACAGCTTATGTTTCCCAGGTTTGTCATCTTGTATCGGTGTGGAAGAATCCTCCGGTTGTAATTGCTTTGGAGTATCTTGAAATGCGATTTGATCCTCAATAAGTTGAAGTAACTCGTCTCCAGCATCATCGATGTTATTGGTTTCCTCGTTCGCAAAGTGCGTCGTTTCAGCTTCATTTTTCACGGCGAATTCTTCGACAACATGGCCGCTGTTCTTTAAAGCCCGTTCTTGGGACCTCTCTTGTTTTCTCACGGTTTTGATAACGTCTTTCTCAGCGCTTGAACGGGCCACCTTAGCTTCCTCACTAGTCACCCCAAGCGTTGATACAATATTTAAACTGTTTGAGTCATCCTGCACATGATTTCCAGAACCAGGACGCGCGGACTTTGAAGACATGGAAGCTGGGTACGAGAAACGCCCTTCGGACATATCCTTTGCTATATCTTCTTTGGACATCTGGTGAGTCAGCCCTTCCTCACCAGAACTCGAACGGACGTGATTTGAAAACTTGGAAACTGGAGCCGAGGAAAGCTCGTTCGATTCTGCAGTAGTCTCGGTAGGTTCTCGTACCAGCTTCTTCACATCGCTCGCGCCACGGTGAACAGACACCATGACCTTTTCGACGTACTTCATTTGCTGTTCCTTGTCTTCGTGATTAACAAGAAAGGCTGTAGTACCACGTCTTGTTTTATTTTCATCCTCTTGGCTCGATTTACTCAATTCCGTCTTCTGAATGTCAGTTTTTGAGCTTGAAGTTTTCATATTTCCTGCGTTGGCTTTGAGAAAAAAGAGAATGATTTGATTATAAAAGATGATCAAAATCGAGTTAAACTCTTCTAGGTTGTCTTCGATGACAATCAACTTATTGTTATCTGTTATTTGCAAGACAGAAAGACGAGAATATACATGTCTTTCAACAAAAAGGTACAAAACTGATATACTGTGAAACAAAATATGCTTTTAACATAAATACCTTGTTTTCTATCCAAATCATTTCGTGCCGAATTCCCTTGAACTTCTTTACCAATGCCATCCTCTTTTCCAATGCTTTCCAAACTATCCTCCAAACTCTTGCTCATAACCAGACTGCTAGTCTTCTTATGCATGATGGTAAAACCTTTGATCTGCTCTGAAGTTTTGTCGCTGTTCGAATCCTCCTCGAGATTGGTTAAAGAATGTTTTGTGTCAACCTCTGTTCCGCGGACTCCTTTCTCGGCCGTCTCTTCAAGGTTTTCTTCTTTATTCAATTCTTCTTCGAAGAAGTCAAAGGCCAAATCAAAGGCTTCAACGTTATCCACTACTTCTGTTTTTGTAATGGTCTCATCTTGTCTAGCAGGTGTCTCGAATGAAATCCCTCTTGTGACAGGACCACTATAACGCTTCCAGCCATCTTGATTCTTCTCTGTTGCTAAAGTTTTTAAGCTTCTTTCATCCAAACTTATCCGTTTCTCAATGTTTTCCACTCGTACTGTATTAGAATCACCCACATGCCTCACCTTCGAGCCATGATAAGTTGCTCTTCTTTCTGGATTTGACGAATCCACTACGATTCCTCCACGTTTCACACGCTTTCTTTCATCGTCTGAGGCTCTGCTCTTCTCGTTGTCAGATTCTCCCAAATGTTTTACCACGAAAACGGCCCTTTGTGATTTTGTTCTGCTGTTTACTAGTTGTTCGCCATCTTTGCTCTCATCTTTCTGATTTGCTGTGGCAAAAGCAATCGTGGTTGTGTTGTTATTTTCGTCCAAAGTTGGATCCAATTTCTCTGCTTTTTCTCTGTCGGAAGCTGTTTCATCGTTACCTTTCTCAAGTTTGTTAACAGTTTTGTTCTTTTGCGGTAAAACTTTGGTAAAGATGCCTTTAATCTTTGTACCAAATTCACCTTTCTCCTTCTCATCTTTCATCTTCGAGGGTCGACTTTCTTTTGCTTTTTCAATATCTTCGATGCTCTCGTTCTTTAAAACTTCAACTTCCACCTTGTTTTGATCCGGCTTGGAATCTTTCAAAGTTGGAATTTCTTTCTTACTTTGTATTAGCCCGTTCTCTTTACCAGACTCTTTTCGACCAGAATCGATTTCATCCTGAGATGAACTACCTCCCTTCGAAAACATTCTCTTCTTAAAAAAGCCACGATGCTTGGTTTTAGGACTTGCAATTTCGGGTTCTTTACTGTCCTTTTTGCTAAGATCTTCTTCTGACTTTGAACCATTCCTGACTTCTTGCTCTTGAAGTATTCCCGACTTTATCTGAACAGTCATACTTTCCATGGTCACGTCATCTTTGCTTCCCACTCTCAAATCCTCGTCGACGGAGTTTCGTTGCTGGTTATTTGGACCGTTTGGATAGCCAGCTTTGAATTGATTACCAGCAATATCTTTAGGTTTCTTGTGACCATCACTCTTGAAAATTGTTGAATCTTCGTGTAGCGAATATCGTTGCCGGTTTTGTGTTTCCCAGGCTGTTACCCGAGTGCTTGAGAGAAGATTTTCTACCGAACTTGATTTCATATTACCGCTTCTTCCGTCTTGATTGTACAAATCAATATCCTTAAATGGCTTGCGAAGATTAGGATCGGTTGAGGTGGACGTTTGCTTTGCATTGCGAGCACTTCTTCTCAAAACCACACCATCACTTGACGATTGATTTGTAATATAAGCAGTAGATTTGGCAGGCAATTTACCAGACGCCGACTCCTCTTCACTTGTGGAACTCCGAACGAACCTTGAACCGTTTTGGCTTCCGTTGTCAACGCCTTTCTTACTTGATATTGTTGACCTCGAAGTGACTTCGGTAACGCGATAACCAGTTTTCCTTTCTTTAGATTCGGCAGTTTGATTTTCAGTTGATTCGGGCGACACTAGATCCTTCGTTGGTCCTTTATCGCTCTCAGAAGTACTAAAAACTGTACCCCTGATCTCGCTTTTACGAATTCCATCAGAAGTTAACATCGAATCCGAGGTATGTTGCTTAACAACAGAAGAGACTGGAATAACACGGATTCCCCCAGGAAAGAAGCGCTTCTTTTTGCTTTTTGGGGATGTTACAAGACTTGATGGTGAGACTTCATTTTCCCTGCCACTGGCATTTGAAGACCGCTCAACTTGTGCCACGTTTTTGGACACTTCAGTACTATCGATGTAGGATTCTCTAGGACTAGTTGGATTTGTGCTTCTCGACGAAATCGAAGAATCGATGGGTTTGTTTCCGATGTCATCAGGTGCAGCAGCATCACCTGCACTTTCACTGAGCTGAACAGTTTCTCTTTTGATTCCATCATCCGAGAGAGCTGCTCTTTCTAAACGGTCTTCACTTTTCGAAATATCCTGCCCAGAATCCACACTGCTATCCTTTAGACTTCCTCCAGCTTTGTTCTGCTTCGACTTCGAGAAGTTTTTCTTGAAATTCTTCAACTTGGGATAAAACGACGAGGCTTTGAGACCACTCTTGGAACTGCTTGGTAATTTCTCCTGCGAGGCAGCGGGTGACGTTTCCTGCAAGCCTTCATCTTTTTCACCTTGTTTTTGAGGACCCTCCTTCTTTTCAGCAAGATCGGAGTCGACATCAAACACACTAAAATTCTTGTCCAGATTTGGTTCAGACTTCGACTTTCTAATCCTGCCGAAGAAATTCCGAAATCCTCCGTCTTTCTTCGAAGTTTTCATCGGTTTCTCTGTTGATTGGTCTTGAGGTTGGGGCAATGTCTCAGTTTTCTTTGTGTCATTTGATGCGAGTTCATCGGTAGACTTTGAAAGGTAGCGCACGCTTGCTCTTTCCCCACCAATAATATACCTCGCTCTTTGCTTCACGATTGGTTTTCCATCTTTCTGTGTTGTATCCACCTCCATCTTCTTTGCTTTCCTCGTCGATTCTCGCATTGCCACTTGCTTATCACTTCCAATTTCGCCTGCTGTAATGGACACGATATTTGAAGTCGACCTTCCAACCGCATTCCTTTTAAATTTCGGATTCTTAGGATCTCCGTTTGGTCCAACTTCGACCACATTCAGTAGCAATACCGAGGAACCACTCAGCTTTGTAATATTCGCCACTGGTTCCTTCTCTAAACTTCCTAATTCTTCTTTTTCGATTCCATCTTCAGACACCTCTATTTTCCCGCCGTTTTCAAATCTTTCCGGTCGGCTCTCGGGCTCGGAACGACTTCTTCGATGAAGCACTTCGCGGTCGGCAAATCTTGAATCTGATTGGTCGACGTTCCTCGATGCAGCTTCGGGGGAGAACCACGAGTTCTGATCATACGGGTCGTACATCGCTTTCAACTGGTCCACGCTAACTTCGCTTTTCGATTGCTTCAACATCGGTTCATCAGCAAAGCTGGTGATATCAAATCCCGAAACATCAGCAGATTTTGGACGAGATCTTGGTCTTTGAGTTGGATTAACCACATCTTTATCGCCGTGTAACTTTGTAGGTTCATCATAATAGCTTGTCGCATCGAACCCTGAAACATCAGCAGACTTTGGTCGAACCTTTGGTCCTCGCTTCGAATCAGAGCCTTCCTGACTTCTTGATAACTCGTTTCGCTTTTCTACGACAGGTTCTGATGACAGATTCACCGCTCTGTCGTGATGGATCGTCATATCGTCAAATCGGGAAACTTCAGCGGATTTCGGCCCAGCTGTGTTCAATGTTTGCATTGTACCAGACAGGTTTGTTGTCATCTTATCCTGTTTTTCTTTCATCGCCAGACTCCTCGCTTCTTCGTTGTAAGTTCTGATATCAATTTCAGAAACATCGACAGATTTTGGTCGAACTCTTATCGGCTTATTTTGGCTTGAGTTAGTCCCTTCCATTTTCTTATCCATTCTCGGTTCATTTTCACTCGAGGGAAAATTCTTGTCTTCATTTTTACCAATGCCAATGTCATATCTCGATACATCGGCCGACTTTGGACGCGTCGCGAGTCTGTTATTCGAACCATCCCTCAACTTCACTGGACTTTCTTTTGATAGACTCTGCTGTGGCTTCTCCTGAGACAGATTTCTTTGATTGTATTCAACCTCGGTGTCTTTTTCCAGTGGTGTTAGCGGTAATAATCTATCCTTGGCTGGCTCATTTGCACCATTCGCTTTCGACACTTTCGTGGCATCTTCGAATTTCTGTGTGTTTCGTTCAAGCGAATTCGCTTTGGTGATGACTCCAGACGCTGGTATATGAACAACCTTTGCCTGGTGTTTACTGGGGTTTGGCTCGAAATATTTGTCGTCAAAAGGATTATACATAGCATCGAGTCGTTCAAAATCCAGTTCGCTTTTCGAATGCTTCAGTTTATGATCGGAGCTTTCGCCACGGCGTTGCTTGTGAAGCTCGACAGATTTCGTCCGTCTTAAACTTGGCTCTCTGCTAACCTCTCTCTTAAAGTTTATTCTCTGTTGCTCGATCCAAGCGGATGTCAATCTTCGCTTGTACGAAGCGTCGCTGTTGAAAGATGAAAACCTTGCCAGGCTTGTATTACCGCTGTTTGCTCTGCCGTTGCTAGTTTTACTGTATAAACTAGGATGGGAGACCTCTCCTTCACGACTTTCCATCCTCTTAAACGTCTTCTTCGGGGTATCATACACCACTTCCGCCTCGGGTTTTTGCGGACGCAAATCTTCCTCTGAAGACAGACTTTGTTCGCTGTTTCTTCGTGGACTATCGTCGGAAATCCGAGCATCTGCCTGATCGATTCCCACCGAAGACGTTGTGGATTTAACCGGTTTCTTCGAACTAACTTCGCCGTTGTAAGTCACACGACTCGCCTGGCCGTTCGACCACAATGAAGATGACGACTGTTGGCTTCTGTTTGCCAGTTTATTCTTCGGTATCTCGCTTTCCTTGAGGTTCCCCTGCAGAAAATTGCCTGATAATTCGGCTTTGGGTTTGAACGTTTCAAAATCTTGAAACTGAGAAGGCTTCATAACTTCGTACCCAAGTTTGGAATCTGGTTCATCGTGGACAACATCCGTTGTGGTCTTGGGTACTTTGTATAAACTTGTTCCCGCCAATTTCGAAGGTGGATTCATCTTCTCATAATCATATTCTTCGTATATTCTTTCTCCAGAGAAATTTGGTTGCTCGTAAATGTGTTCCACTGTCTCTTCGTAATGATTTGTGCTGTGATTTCTTGATTCAATTTCGTCGTCAAGTGGACATCTTGTGGATGAAAGATTCGAGTTATTTGGGACCTCGTAGTAGCTTTCGTTCGGAGTAAGCTGTGTTGGTGTAACTGGCAGCGGCTTTTTGTAATCATTTCCATGAATTGCTGGACATTTTTCTGGCAAAAAATTCGAGTTCTCATCCGTCGGCTCTTCGTAAAGGTCTTCGTTGGTTTCCAGTTCAATTCGAGGAGGTGGCGTGGTTTCAACTTTTACTGGAGACTTTGGTTGTTGATAATATTGTTCATTTTGATAAGTCGACTGCTTTTCCGAAATTATGTAGGTAGATTTGGTGTAGTTTCTCTGGATTTCGCTTTTCTCTTGTCTACTTCGTTGTGTGTCCTCGTTCCTGCTGTCAAAATTCGGTTGTTGGTAATAATCGCCATTCTTGATATAGCCTGATGTTGGTTTCCCAGGAGTGACATACGATGAAGATTTTATGTTTAACTTCTTGTTCACTGTGCCTTCAACATGCTTTGAAGGAGATGCCTGCTTTGTTTCAACCCTCTTCACTTCAGGATTTGGTTGATGGTAATAGCTTTCGTTCTGGATAGGAGCTGGTACATCATGCGTCGCGTTCCAATGATATCTTAAACTTCTCCTGTCGACTGTATTTTCGTCTTGTTTGGGATAACCATTCTGGTCAGTTTCGAGTTGTTTATTTTCCCTCATTAATTCAAAACTTGGCTGTTTGTAATAATCTTCATTTGGCTCTGTCGTCTGTTCCCCCGGATGAATTATGATCGATGGAGATTTTGAATTCCCATTCATATAAACGGTGCTTTTAAAGCGTTTCGGTCGGATGCTTTGGTCTGGCTCGAAGGATTCCACTTTTCTTACCTCAACACTTGGTCCGGAAGTCGTGTTCAATGAAGAACTTGGCTTGCCGCTGTAAGCTGAATCTTCACCTTCACTAGGAGGACTACTTTCAAGATTTTCATTTGTTTTAAACCTTTTAACTTCTTGTTCTGGTTCTTCACCTTGGCTACGCGGTTCTGCTTCGGGAATATCGTCCGATAAAGATTTCAACTTTTTGGTATAAACTGTGTCTTCCACTGGTCGCTGACGGTCGTCATCCTCCTCTGTCTCCAGTGGATCCGTTGTGAATATTTCAAGATCTGGCAGTTGGAAATAGTTCATTTTGTAGTCACGAGTAACTTGCTCAGAAATTGCATTCACAGTCGAACCAGGTTGATTGCTGTGGTCTTCAGCGCCAAATTGGCGAGGGTAAGTACTATCGGGAGCTTCAAGTGTCTTCGCTTGTTCATCTTCAAAACTCGGTTCTTGATGGTAGAAACTTTCATTCTGCTCGGATATTACCTGTTCCAAAACTGGCTCCACCACGGACTTCGGCTGCTGATTTGTAAAGTTATCTCTGCTCTCAACATCCATTGGTGAAGATGGATTTTCAGTTATCGATAAACCTTGCCAGGCGAATGAACTGCTAGTCATCGATTTTTCATTTTCAGGCTTTAACTTATTTTCATCTACGGATGATTCAATTGAAGATGCTTCTCCCATCATCAATGGGCGTTTATCCACTGGATTCTCATCTGGAGAGCCTTTGACTACTGATGGATCACTATTCAAGGATGATTCTTCCGAAACAGGTTTGATATCATCAGGCACTGGTGTTGATTGAGAGTAACCAACCTTAAATTCTTGAGGTGGCCAATCATGATGAGGACTTGCGTTCAATTCTGAACCAGGCGGACTGTGATATTTTTTATCCGTCCCAGGCAAACCGAGACTTGGACGATGTGAATACGCTGAATGGTTACCAGGTTTCTCCATTGCTGGACTGCCACTCGTCCTTGTATTAACTTCTGACCCGAATTGCCGGGAAGGGGGAACTTCCTGGGGTTCATTTCTTCCGGGTGTTGTTTCCTTGGGTGATATTTTCCGGGAGGAGAATTCGTATTGACTAACACTTTGATATGTAAACTTTGTGCTTGGATTTGAAAGAATTCGTGGCGTAACTTTTTGCGGAAACTCTTGCTTTACACCTCCGACGTAGGCTTTATTCCACGATAGAACATCCCGCTCTGACATTGGTTCTTTCGATTTTTTTCTCCGTGGTGAACGGTTCCTGCCGGTGGACTCGGGACGAGACTGTCTGGTGCGTGGCGAGTGCACGGAACGAAGGAACGTTTCGCTGTCCGGTTTCTTCATGCTTGACCTGAGCGTGCTGATCAAGGAGCGTGCTTGGTTTGTGGGATCTTGCGTGCTGTAATCTGGTGAATCACCACCGTCCGTCTGGTCATCACCTCGAATGCTGTAACCGTTTCTAGATTCCACGTCACCATTCATGACGTCACCATTGCCAATCTGATAGGATATAAAGTCATCAACAATGGCACCGTGAGGCTTCGAAACACTACCTGTGACATTTCTTGTTGTGGTATTCGTAGTTGCGCTGTTTAGATCATCATTATTTACGACTTTATCGATTGCGACACCATTATTTCTGACGCCATTTCTGCTCCGGGAATTGCTGGCATTATCTCCATATGAACTGCCAAAGTCTTCATCCCAAAATTTCGAATCAAAACTTTCGACTTCATTGACTTTTTGAGCGGATATTCTCTCGTGGGCCAGGCCTCTCGGGTTCCCACCGGAACTTTGTACAGCCATTCCGCCCATATTCCGACCGGCATCTTCTCCTACCGGCGTATCCACTTCATCGAAACCAAACGGATCGTCCATTGACATTCCTAAGGATTTCGACCTTCGATGAATGGGTTCAGGCATATCCAATGCATCATAATTAAAAACAAAAGACCCTGGTGGGGCAGATCTCCGTCGTTCAGGAAAGGCCCCGGGTTTCGATCCTACCGGAGAATTGAGTATACACAACTTGCTATCCCCGTGAGCTACGTCACAATCTTCGAAAGCTCGTCTCCACGCCACTACGTGAGGCTTCTCGATCTGGCGGTCGAACGCATGCGTGTATTGCGTGATATAAATTTCTTCCATGCGACCTTGTTGTTGGGACGTTTCCCCGGTCGGTTTTAGCGTGACGCGGCAAAGTTCCGGTATGCTACGTGCCCGGTAGTACTTCATGCGCCCGCGCTGGTTATTCTGGGGGCATATTTTCAGCTCGATACGATCGGGCAGCGGTTCGACTCGCCTCGGAGAACGATCGCGCGTGCCTCGCTCAAAGGCGGAAACGTAAATTTTTTGATCGTACACCTTTCTCCCTCGCTGGGGATCGACATTGTCAGGCACCTCAAGATGAAGCGGTTTCATCGCATCAGCTAAAAAGTCGCAATAGAAAATGAATCAAAAGCTAATGAAAAATTAAATTGAACAGCATTATGTCTAGATATGGCATGCACAGATCCAAAAGTTACTAATAGCTGAGATAATATTCAGGGATTATGCTACCTTTTCAAACATTCAGAAACTACGAAAAACACATCGTCTTAGCGAACAAGCATTACAACCTTTCAAACTGCGAGCACACCTTTCGAAAGTATTTCATACTACGGACCCTGTATTCATCCGACAACGTAGGCGTCCCCCCCCGCCGTTCAATAGAACAATATATATTAACACACAATACCGGGTCGTGTGTCTTCCGACTGAGAGAAACGCGTTCAGCTTGATAATTATGTAGAAATGTATTCACATAACTTATTTTAATTGATCAGATATTGACAATTGTAACTTTAGTCGAAATGGTTGTAATTAGCCAGAGTTAATTGCCTATTGAATGCAGGAATCTCATTTAAACATTTTTGTTATCGTTTGTATACTATTGCCCCTTAATCTATTGTATATAAACTCATATTGTTTAGTTTAAGGACTCGCAATCAATCTTCACCATGCAAGCGGTGAGAATTGAAAAGCGAGAATTTTCTAGAGTCAACCTCGAAAAAAGGACCATGGAAAAATTATTGCCTGTTATGCCAACAGGAAACCCAAGCAGATAGCTTGCTATTAATAACCTATCAACTAGCAGGAACCGGTTGTATAAAAATGTAGTTAATTCTTAACTAGGTTTAATGAAAAAAATGACCAATCAAAATCGCCGATTTTGGACTTACATATGGCGAAAAAATACTGAAGAGTTTTACATGACTGACCCACGTCCTTTTCCACTGACGTGAAAAATAAAAATGAGCAAAATGACAGGGTAGAATGATATAGATTTTAAAAACACTGTGATATTGTATAAAATAGCAGAAGTAGCTAGTTCCCAGTCACAGTTACATTTTCTATGCATTTTGCACCTAACTTTACTACTTCACTCATTTTGACACGCTCTTTCGAAGAATTCCGCTGTTCTCGCGCCTGAATCGAAATTTAATCTTTTAAAGGAATTATGTTTTGGCGGTAAATCTTCATGCAGAAGTTACAATACTAAATCATTGTAATAACAATCAAACTCATTAACAAATTCATACACTTCGGTGATCAGTGATGCGAGTCAAAACAATCAAATTTATATAAGACAACTTGCGGGGTTGCTGAAATTCACCGGCTGAATGGAATGAAAACTCTCAAACACTATCTCTTTCGTCAATTTCCCTATGCGACAACTTTAATTTTTGATTCACTATACATATAAGAAGTCCAAGTATCCGACAGTTCAATTTGAAACCGGGTCTTTTCGGAAACTATAACTATAGCTACAAGCGAAGAGATTTCTCATTGTGCATGCAATGAGGAACTCTCATGACAGCCACTTGCCAACTTTCATATAACTTTTGAGTTAGAATATAACGAAAGATTGTGTGTTTTAGGAACGCAATTCATAGAGAGACATATTATAAAAGTTGAACGAAAGCATTGCTCGCGAGAAATCGACTTCCAAAACTCCCACGGGATTTAAGTTCTGGTTTGATTAAATCACGAAAGTGTTGCAAACTCGCAAGGTTCGTATTTAGGAACTCGCTTACGGTGCTTGTACACGTTTAACTAAGTCATACAACCGAGAAAGCTTTTATTAAAACCCAACAAGCTAAATTATGCCCTCTCCTGTGTCTATTAATATTCCGTTTGATCGAGCAACGAAACTCAAGGAAGCTCTCTTAGCAACGCTCTTGCTTCTTAACCAACCTTTGTGCAACTTTAAAACGCCACAAAGTTTGGGCAACCTTGATTCAAACTTGCATTTTGTAAATCCTCGTTCATAAACTTCTATGCTAATCGTTCGGGCGACTTTAAAAAACAAAACAAACAATAAAATTTACCTTAGCAATTGATGCTTTGCTTTTATCCTTCTTGAAACGACGCGGTCACTTGAACACTTGAAACTTTCACGACGAAACCGGAGTATTTTTGAGGAAAAAGTACGAAATTTTTAAGTCGACACTAAGTATTTTCCCAGCTGTAGTAATTTGAAAACAGACTGAAGAGTTTCTCACGATATTTTTGGTCGCCTTTTGTGCCTTGATGCCTCCCCGTTGGGAGCTTTTGAAATTTACATCGCGTGAAACAAGTTCAGTAATTAAAATATTTTTATGAATGCTTGCTTATTTTGAGTGGCCTCTTCAAAACAAAAATTTGTATGGATACATTTTGTATGTTTTGGGGTATATAGTTATTTGCTTTTTGGATGGGTTGTTTACCAATCTACGATCATCGAGCAACCCAAAAATATCATTTTGGCCAGAAGTCAAAAATAAGATATGCAGCATATCTATATAGGAAAATACCCGTACGGGTAAAATGCCTATATAGGTTAAACATGCATTCAGGCAAAATTTCCATGTGGGCAAAATGTCCACATGCTTGAAAATCTCAATTGGCAATCGTCCGTATAGTTGAAATGTCCATTGGGATAAAATGTCCATATAGGCAAAATGTCCACATGCTTGAAATTGCTATATAGGCAAATTGTCCATATAGTTGAAATGTCTATATGGGCAAATTGTCTGTATGGTTAAATGTCCATATGGGTAAAATCCATATGGTTGAAAATCTCCATATGGGTAACATGTTTATATATATGGGTAAAATATTCATATAGGTAAAATCACCATATAGGTAAAATGCCCATATGGAAAGAATGCCTGTATGGGGTAAATGTCCATAAATAATTATATGCATCATTTTCCATAATAATCTTGCATAAAATCATTTGGAAACTAATAAGAATCCCACAAACTAGGTATAAAAACATATTAAAAATATATCACACAACATATTCGTAATTCACACAACAAAATATTTTTATTTTATCAACATGGTACCTCCAGACATAAACTATATTTCGCATCAAATAACGTTCTTTGCTTAAAAAATGTCACGTCTCCTCATTCATTTTACTAGCAGCTCCATCAGAGATGGGATCTACAAAAATTGACATAATTAAAATATTGTAGTTTTGCAAGCAGACACTCACAAGGTAATATATTTATACATATGCCTGGGTACATTGCCACCTGATAGGTAAGCAAACTACACCTGCAAATAGTTTTGTGGAATAAATAAAATAACCAACTTCATTCCATTTGGTACGATGAAAACACAGCTAATCAATTGTACTAACTTATTGTGTAGTCAAGGTTAAGTTACTTATGTAGAAGAGCTTGGAATTGCTCAAAATTTGTCTGGACAAAACTAGCAACTGGAATGAAATACTTCAATTTGATTAGACTGTCATTTCATATTCTGTTATCAGCTAATGGTGCCCCATGTTAAACTTGCAATATTAACTATCTTGCGTTTATATTGGCACCGCTCTTCTGTCTACCATATAAATTATATTTATTTATAAATATTGTGTTTTAAAATAGCAAATATACATACATGGATATTTCATTGGTATGGCATTGTTCTTTTCAATCGTTCTTTCACTCAGTGGACTGAGAAAGACAATTAATGGACCTGAAAATACGAAATATTTTAGAGCAGATATTTCTCTCAGATAACTCTCGAACTTTAATAGTACCTGACACTTGGAACAAAGGTAAAATGTACAATTTATACATATTTGAAAAGGAAAAACATGACGTGGATATAGTGTACATCTTACCTAGCGCTCCAAATACCGTAGAAACGAAAAGTACAGGTTGTTGAACCCAAGCTAACTTCAGGAATTTTATACTCCTTGAATATAACGTCGCCATATTGCCTTCGTCTCCGAGCTTTACGCATGCTCAGTTTGCCCCAGCTTCCACTTCAATGCTAAAGATTCCTCAAAATGTCCAAATTTCCGTAAATCACACTGATCTCAGTATAGAAATAGCTAACGAATCTTTATAAAGAATCCATAAAAATCTTTTCCAGCTGCTTTAAAAAGTATTTTAGACGAACAGTATATCGTATATGTTTGACAAGGATTCTTAGAAGTCCCATGGCTTCTCGTAGATAATGTTTTGGGACTTTAAGGCATAAAAATGCGGCGATTTTAATACCATAAACTTTACCGAGTTTACGACAGAGATCAGTGGAAACGCAGCTGCCGCTGTCAATATGTTCCACGGACTCGTTTCACTTCAAAACAATAACCAAAACAATAACAAAGATGAACGCAAAGTCGTACACATTACAAATTTCTGTCGAAGAAAAGCAAATAGACGATGTCCTTCTGAGCTTATTGCACACCATTTTGTTCCACCGAACGACGGGGAAGTTCAGCTACCAAAAGGAAGGCTCGTATACGATAGGAACGCTCGGATTTATCGACACGGATTGCTCAACTTTTGATTTGACTTACGTACGATGCAATTCCAAAACCTTGGACCAAAACCTAAAGCGACAAATCTCTCAGTTTAGGGAGGCTTTGAGAGGCAATCCCGCCGCCAAATGTGGCACGGTAATACTAGAGTTTTACCAAAAAAAGAAGGGCCGTTGGCCGTTTGGTATTGAACTTATTTCATGGGAAATTTGGAACATAACTTTGGCTATCAATCGTGCTAAAGGCGAGTTGGAAAGACAACGATTTCGAGAAAAAGTCGCTGAAAACGTGAGCGAAAGGATCATGGAGATTGCCCAAGCAATAAACAGACCGGATTACGTACCAAAGATGCCAAATCAATCCGAACTTGCCAACGTTTTTGACACAAGTTATACAAACATTCAGCCATATTTATTTAAAATTCACTGTCAGATGTCAAACGAGGTTACGACGTCCGTTGGAAGCACAATGAGAAAACTCATACGAGACACATTTTCTTATTAGATTTTGGGCAGTGTGTCTTGTAAAATGATGTTAAAGTATTTGATATCAATAGCACCTAGAGTGCTTATGAAGTGAAAATTTACCTTTAAAATTTAAAAATTTTATTTTTTTGTTGGAAAAAACTTTTGAGATGATTACGAACTGATTATGTGATTTCCAAAAATTCCACATGCGAAAATGTCAGCCCCAAAGTAAACCTATAATTCAACCTATTTTATGCAAATGAATTCTACTTCAACTGCCAAATTTTCTTGGCCTTCAGTACAAAACTATTGTACACAAATCTGAGAAACATGTACATAATAAAGTCGTGTAAATAATATTGTGTAAAATCAAATATATATATTTCCAATTATTTTATATTACTAAATTGTGTGTTTATCTAAATCATCTTTAGCAAGTGGTATGGCCCCTACATTTTCAATTGTATCCACACCTGGTGATTATAATCTAAGAAATGCAATTATTTTAAAGCACAAATAAATATTGTTTTAGCCTAAATAGTGACGTTAAGAAAGGCACCCTGCAATTCTAATGCTTTATAGGTTTTGCTTTTAAGCTGTTTCCTAATTTTCCATTCAGTCGCAAGAGCCGTCTTTCCAACCATCTCTCCATCGCTCATCAACCTTGGAGCAATCAAATTCTTGCTTTCCTAACCTTTTATTAATTTCATTATGTATCCCACACAGCCATTGGGATAGCTCCACTCTATTCTTTGTTGCTGGCGGATTGTCCTTTAATCTATAAGAACAATTTGAACGTGAGCAAATGATTATTTCTTTACTTTCCACACATGTGTAGCGATATCTACGACCTCTTTACAGAGACCCTAAACATACATGAAAAATATTCACTCCCCTTTTCCCTTTTGTATCAATGCTCCCCCTGTCAGTCACAGCCATATACGCACATTACTGGGCTATTATACTCTGTCTATTGCCAGATGATATTACTTGTAAGTAGCCAAATGGCAAGAATTCAATTCATCAATGAATTTGCAATTGTAATAGCATAATAGATCTGGGTGTGTACTTTGTAGAATGATAGATAGTTTCATTTGTCACTGAACAAGAAGAATCAATTGTTCAGACTTCAGAGGATGTAGTATTCTTCTGTATTAAATGCAAACAAGTCCACAGTGATTCCATGAAAGAGGTCCAAGAAGAACCAACAGGAGAACCTAGAACTAGGCGGTTGTCACTGGTCAGGTACAATACATACAGCCTCTCCTAAAAAAGACTCACCTGTCACGTAAATCCTCTGCACAATCTTCACAGGGAAAAACTCGTGAAAATGATTTGAAGAACTGACTCATATTGCTCTGTTGTTCCGTCGTGGGCTTGTCAGGATAATATGCAGCCATTGTGTGAAGGAATCCCCATGTTCCCTGACCCAGTTCTGTCAAGTCAAGTGGACACTCCACCTTGGGGTCCTCTGTCTCTGAGCTTGCCAGTGTTTCACTGCCTGAAGTATCAGCACTTGTTTTGCCATGGACTTCATTTGCCTACATAACAGAATTTTTTCTGTGCCATTAAAATGACTCTAAGAGTTAACCTATTTGTCTAAAAACGATACCCCCCTGCATCCACTATACCTACGCGGTACCATGGACGGGGGGGGAACACTCAGCACAATTAATCCACTACAATATAATAAATTTTTATACCTGTTCGACTTTCTTCTGTTTCGTCCAAGATTTAAAATCAGTACAAACTCTACACGGTCTTTTCCCGGGTTTTTCATGAGACAACGAATCCTCAGTCATGTTAAAATAATAAAATCCGTCCCAAAATCATCGGAAACTGCAGAATTTTCTCTAATGTACCTTGTGAAGCATGGTATTTACCAGATTTGGATAAAAGAATACGTGTTAACCAATGGCCAGCCTCGAAGTAATGAATATACTCGATAAGATCTCTCAAAAGTATGATCAAATATATTCGATACATTCTGAAAAATTTGGATCCAAGCTCTCACGGTCAAAATCTAAAATGGCCGCCAATTTTTGCTTTAATTTTGAAATTCCTGAACAAAACCCCGAGTTTTCTATAAACGAAGAAAAATCAGGACATAAAGAAGTAAAGGGTTCTGTAAAGGCCGAAGCCACGTTTTTAAATCCGAATCAAAATGAGTTAGAAGTTGTTTTGAAAGGAAACTATGAGGCCAAAGAAGTTGAAATCGCTGGTTTTGACAATGGGCCATCATCACGACTTGTCCATTTGTCGGAGGCTTTTGTTGAGAACCTTATTCGGAACTCCGAAGAATATTCAACAACCGCTAGTAAGCGAGCGTTGGAATCAAACACGGATCTCATTCCTTCATTTTATGAGGGAGGACTGAAGATCTGGGAGTGTTCTCTTGATCTTGTAAACCACCTTAATAGACTTTTCCTAGAAAACAAGTTGTATTTCCAAGATAAGGCAGTTCTAGAACTGGGCTGCGGTGCTGGCTTGCCAGGAATTTATGCGTGCCTCAAAGGTGCAAGTGTTTGTTTCCAAGATTACAATGCAGAAGTATTGAAACTTTTTACAATTCCTAACGTGGCATTAAGTATGAATTCTGGGAATTCTTTTGACTTTTCCAGGAACCCAACACTTCTAGAAAAGATCAATCGTTGCAAATTTTTGTCAGGAGATTGGGAATTCGCTAAATCATTACTGGAACCTATGTCATTCGATGTCATTCTTACTTCAGAGACAATTTATAACAGTGATGTACAAAAATCGTTGTATGAACTTATAAAGTTCGTATTGAAGCCCTCTGGCGTAGCATTTGTTGCGGCAAAGAGCTATTATTTTGGCGTGGGTGGTGGTACGGACCAGTTTTCCCAGCTGGTTAAGCAAGATGGGGCGTTTGATATTTCCAATCTAACAATGTGTAGTGAAGGTGTTAAAAGAGAAATATTAGTCATGAAAAGAAAATAAATTTTTGAATCAGATTAAATGAGTCTTTGTTTTTTTGGATTCCTACAGTCAGGTCCAGAATTGGATGCAAGCATTGGGGATGGGGTGGGCCGTGGGGGGTGTGGTCGACGCTCTGTATTTTATTGGTATATCTATGTCTATATAGAACTAATATTCTAAACCAACATTCCACGGGAAGTCAGATGCTAGATTTACGGAAAAGTTTCAGTTTTAGATTCATCGATAAACATTACCCTATGAGATATAACTACCTGGAGTATGTCGTACGCGCGTTTTCAAATGCCGCGAAATCTAGACAAAGAAAACTGTCCGTGAGGAAATGATTTACTGCAGAGAACTGAGTTTCTGAGAACTGAGAATTTGCACTAAATTCACACTGCACTAAATATGCTTGCAAAGCAGTATTCACTAAATTTGCTGTACTGGCAACTTTCGCTTTCTGCTTTCTAGGAATAAAATGTCCTTCGACACTTCCGGTCTCTCGGTGCTTCTATAAAATGAGGCTATTTTGAACGGCTTCGTATTAGACTATTAGTTATAAATATAGTATTTTTGTTTACCAGAAGGCAGAAGCAAAAGCTCACAGAAGCACCCTTCAGTATAGGCGTATAAGCAGTATGATATCTACGCGTGACGATGTGTTATCATCTGACTGGCTCCAAAGCGATTTCAAATAATTTGGCGGGCTAAGTCCTGGTAAAACGTACAGTCATGATAAATATTCTGCCTACGTCAATAATCGGGTAATATTCTATGCTATAAGATGGTACACCATTGTACACCAGCATTGTGTTGATGGACTGCTTCCTGTATCACAGGCCAGACGTTTTCTGGAAGACGTCGCAATACAAACCAGTCTGTTGCACCCCCTCTTGCAGGATCTTTAACTGCTCCAAGTAGTGCTACGATCGCATTTTGAGCCGCTGTTTCAGCGCCTCTCATGTTATTGGCCATCACAAAATTATACAACGTAATGTTTGGGTTATTCTCTTGTTGCTGTATCTGATTCAGACGTACAAATGGATTTCCTGAACAACCAATCTTGTGATATCTTGTGTTACCTGCCGTGTAGGTCATTAGATACACGTAACCTAGACCATCCCATCGCCCGGCAGCCCCACCAACTTGTGCCATCTTGCAAATGTAAAATCAAATACCAGAGCAGCTCTTAGCCTCTTGTTAACTACACACACTTGGAAAGCAAAAGTGCTCTAGATAAGCAACTTTTTACTGTAAGCGCGCTTCCGCAACGTGCTTTGGACATGGCACTGCAGGAAAATTTTACGTAATGCGATCACTATATGTCAGCGGTCGGTTGTTTAGGACTCTTAGGACTGCTTTGCCACGTAGGTACGCGCACGTAAAAGCTTAAAACCTTCTAAGTTGTTGTATAATCAATTTTATGCCAGAAAAAAACACACCAAATCATCAACAGAATCCAACCCTATGCATATATTCAATCGTTGATTTCATAAGTATCATTTTAATGATTTTAAGCTTTTACGCGTGTACGTACGTGCAAAAAACGTGACACTAATAGGAAAGCGGCGCTAATAGATACATTTATACCTCCAACCTTTCTCCCATATTTATTCAAAATTTATTTTGGAGGGATTGAAAATCCTTGGGGATTAATGATGAATCTTTACTCGGACATAGGGAGAGGAGAAGGGTTTAGATAACTTAGGTTTAATATATATCGCTTTTGTAGAACTTAGAAGGCAGGAAGAAGCTTAGCCGACCAAATCGCCTTGAAAATATGCTGGAGTGTTTATATTTTGATTTACAACGCCTTCCTTTAATTTCCATTAACTTATGCTGTAGATAGACTGTAGATTGTTTGTTGGAAGAACGAAAGCTTACAATATCAAACAAACTTAACAAGACCAGACTTGTCAAATGTTAGTACAAAAAACCTTAAACCTATTTTAACCTATAAAACTTTTCCTTTCCGCCTCTCCGTTGCTTCCTGTTTTCCAGGAAATATATGTCATACGATACTTGGAAATCAAAGATGAATATTATGAACAACAGACATAGTCAGTCAAATAAGAGGCAATATACTCGTGGGTCTACTCTATACTCTAACATGGCAAATTTATTTACTGAATATTACAGGATAAAAATATCTGTTACAGTCTTAATAATTAACAATTAGGTATCACTACTCGCTACTCTACTATAATAATAAGTCTTAATACTTAACGAGTAAGGCAGTTGTATAAGTAAATTAAATTCATTTCTTAGTCTTGTTGAGCACGATTGTGCCGATGGACAGCTTCCTTTATCACAGGCCAGACGTTTTCTGGACGAAGTTGCAATATAAACCAGTCTGTTGCACCCCCTCTTGAAGGATCTTTAACTGCCCCAAGTTGGGTTACGACTGCATGTTGGGCCGCTGTTTCAGCGCCGTTCATTTCATTGGCCTTAACTGAATTATACAACGTAATGTTTGGGTTATTCTCTCGTCTCTGTATCTGTTTCAGACGTTTTTCTGGTTCTCTTGAACAACCAATCTTGTAATATCTTGTGCTACCTGCCGTGTAGGTCATTAGATACACATAACCTGGACCACCCCATCGCCCAGATGCCAAATCAACTTGTGCCATCATGCAAATGTAAAATCAAATACCAGAGCAGCTCTTAGCCTTTTATTAACTACACACACTTGGAAAGCAAAAGTGCTCTGAATAAGAAACTTTTCACTGTAAGCGCGTTTCCGCAACGTGCTTGGACATGGCATTGCAGGAAAAGTTACGTAATGCGATCACTATATTATGTCGGCGGTCGGTTGTTTAGGACTCTTAGGACTGCTTTGCCACGTAGGTACGCGCACGTAAAAGCTTAAAACCTTCTAAGTTGTTGTATAATCAATTTTATGCCAGAAAAAAACACACCAAATCATCAACAGAATCCAACCCTATGCATATATTCAATCGTTGATTTCATAAGTATCATTTTAATGATTTTAAGCTTTTACGCGTGTACGTACGTGCAAAAAACGTGACACTAATAGGAAAGCGGCGCTAATAGATACATTTATACCTCCAACCTTTCTCCCATATTTATTCAAAATTTATTTTGGAGGGATTGAAAATCCTTGGGGATTAATGATGAATCTTTACTCGGACATAGGGAGAGGAGAAGGGTTTAGATAACTTAGGTTTAATATATATCGCTTTTGTAGAACTTAGAAGGCAGGAAGAAGCTTAGCCGACCAAATCGCCTTGAAAATATGCTGGAGTGTTTATATTTTGATTTACAACGCCTTCCTTTAATTTCCATTAACTTATGCTGTAGATAGACTGTAGATTGTTTGTTGGAAGAACGAAAGCTTACAATATCAAACAAACTTAACAAGACCAGACTTGTCAACATAGGCGTACGGGCCTAGAAATTTTGGGGGGGCGGGGGATATTCTGCCCGACGAGCGCCGAGACCGAGAAAAACAAGGATGGTCCAGAGGTCTGCTCCCCCGGTATTTTGGAACGTACAAACGCTGAAATACAATTTTCTGCTTGGGTACTATGACGAAACTTTAACAGCCTTCACATTATTTAGGAAATTTGATAAGTTGATTTCCACTCATAGCGAAGCGCGTAGTCGGAAAGGGAAATCGTTTTGCCGAGTTTAGGCAGCGGCGTAGCCAGAGTCAGTGTTTTGGAGAGCCGAGATGCGAAAGCCGAAAGCGTGTGGCATACTAGGGGGGTCCGGGGGCATGCCCCCCCGAAAATTTTTGAAAATTAGCGACCTGCAAATGTGATTTCCTGCATTTTCCGCGTGAGATTTTGCAGAATAAAGTCAGGATTCTGAGGTCTATCAACGATTAAATCTCGGATTAAATTTTGCACAGTTGCTATAAAAGTTAGTAAAGTTACAAACTTACAGAACGATAGATTTGTTTCGTAACTACATGGTGAGTTTTGCTGCGCCAATCAGTTGTGGCACATAGGGTAGCCAGTGGCACAAACGGAAAAGCATGTTTATTTCAATTATTTTCGTTTTCTTTAATTCGGGTTTACGCAAGCTGCAAGCCAGTTTGCAGAGTGTGTCACGTGCACTCGCGAGATTTTTTTTGAATAAGTCACGGAGCACGCCAAAATTTCACGTGTCACGCCGAAAGAATGTTTTGACCACTGAGTACAGTAAAATGCGTTTCGCATCTAACTGTGGGCGCTTAGATTCCGTATTGATGTATCTTACACGAAGTACTTCAACAGAACAAAAACAAAGATCTAACCGGGGTCCGTTACGAAATTTCGGTTATTCGTTGATCATGCCCTTGTTTGATTTCAATATAAAGATATTTAAAACAGCTATTGTGCCCTGGTTTGCAGTTTGCACGCGATGCACGCCACTAAATTGTTTTTGCACGCGCGAGATCTCGTCGAGAATTGCCCAGGTCTGCAAACTGGGCTGCAAGCATATATATTCTACCATTTTCTACCATATTTGAGGATTCTTAAAACTTTTTATGTAGTGTGGAGACCAAATTCACTTAAGTATAAATTGCCCGACTCGTGAATATAAATTGCCCGACTAATTAATATTTCTGACTAAACTGGGGGGGCTGCAGCCCCCCCAGCCCCCCCGCCTCGTACGCCTATGCTTGTCAAATGTTAGTACAAAAAACCTTAAACCTATTTTAACCTATAAAACTTTTCCTTTCCGCCTCTCCGTTGCTTCCTGTTTTCCAGGAAATATATGTCATACGATACTTGGAAATCAAAGATGAATATTATGAACAACAGACATAGTCAGTCAAATAAGAGGCAATATACTCGTGGGTCTACTCTATACTCTAACATGGCAAATTTATTTACTGAATATTACAGGATAAAAATATCTGTTACAGTCTTAATAATTAACAATTAGGTATCACTACTCGCTACTCTACTATAATAATAAGTCTTAATACTTAACGAGTAAGGCAGTTGTATAAGTAAATTAAATTCATTTCTTAGTCTTGTTGAGCACGATTGTGCCGATGGACAGCTTCCTT